GGACTGGGTGGCGGGTGTGTTTGAGGTGGGTTAGAAATCATTCAAAAAGAACATAAAACAATACCGTTACTTTATTTGTGAAAAAACATAAAAATCAAGTATAATCGAATTGAATCAAATACAATACAGCAATGTGGTTGCGACTACATTAATAAAGAGTGAACATAAGAATAAATCAAAATTTTGCACAAGTTAAAAAAGCCGCGAGTTTAAAATTGTGAGTATGTTTTTAAAAAAGTTGCGAGTATATCACGAGTTTATCACGTAGTCTGGCCAAAATCGCATCTTAAAACATAGACCATCATAAACACATTTTATAACATATCAGCTAAAATAACACATCTCATTTATATATGATATACACACTTTGGAAGGAATTGGCATACATAAGGAACAACAATAAAAAAACCAACAAATTTAGTTTTATTTTAGGTGGGAGATATTTAGGGAATTGGGCTGCTGTGTTTGGGGTAAATAGGAATAACACAAAAGGTCAAAAAACATGCTGCAAATCAAAAACAATAAAGCAGTGTTGGTGTGACATTTTAAATTAATAAGTAAAATTCCGCGCGAGTTAAAAGTAGCGCGAGGTAAAAGTAGCGAGAGCAACGTATTTCAATCAATTTTTATAATATATCAATTTAAAAAACACATCTCATATATTATATCACTATTTTGGCAAGAAATACACATAAACAACAACAACAAAACCCAAAATAAATCTAGTTTAAATATAGGAGTGGAGCATGGGGATTGAGGGTGTATTTGAATTATGTGTATGGGGTAGGTAGCTAAATTAGGGCACAAGGTAAAAATCTGAAGTAAAAATCTATCTCTTAGCAAGACCGAATCACAACATGGACCATCATAACCCCATTCCATAACATATCAATGTGCAATGTATATATAAATATATAAACACTTAACAGTTTGGCAGGCATAACGCAAAGAAACAATTTGTTGGTAAATATAGGTAGGAAACATAAACACAAGGACACATATGCACTAAATATATGCATTATAAATCAACAGGAGATATATTTTAAACAGTTTGTAAATAAATCAAAAACAACAAAAACGCCGATATGTCGCGCGATATGTCGCGCGGCTGGCCAGCTTGGTCAGGTCAACAAGTTTAAACCCTTTCCAAATCTCCACATATTAAGTAAAATAGCACATATATTATCATATACAAACATTACTGGACATCATATCTAATGGATAAAAATAATAAAACGGTTGGTCATCAAAGAACACAATCAAGTATAAATTATCACAATTATGTACAGTATAAAAGTCAGAAGCTACAAATCATCAAAATAAACAGGATAAAACACAGGCTGGTAGAAGAAATCATATAGCACAATTCATAAAATATCGACACACTTACTTAAACACCAGACACCATTTTGTCCATTCCATGTTCACGGTGTGACTTTCCCTCCAAAACTGTTGATTTGTTGATATAACTCAAATGATCACGTGATCTTTAATCTGTGAAGCGGGAAAATTTCGACACTTTCCGCCGTACTTCGGTAAAAAAAACTTGCACGACTCTGACCTTCTCATTGTTGAAATAACAATAGATTTAACATGAGTTCTGTTGTTAACAAATATGTTGTGTTAAAATTCTTACTGATATCCACTCACCTGAAATCGACTATTTGCACGAGAAACGCGTTGTAATAAGTTACAATTAAAAGATCGCAACCAAAATACAGTATACTACTTTATCAAATCACGGAATGATTCAATAATAAAAATTAACACGTGATATATTGAATCAAATGTATTTGTAATAAATCCCTTTGTATGAATATGTATATTATTATCATTTATTAATTATAATTAATTATAATTGCGTCGCTACTTCAACAGTCGTACTGTTGTGATGCAACATTGTACTGCCCCAGGCGAGCTCGTGCTAGTGTTCTGAAAATAATGGCGCATGCAAAAGTAGGTTAACTGTCGATCCCATTATTATATTTTTACAGATATTCCACAAAAATAAATGCTACTTAATAAAAAATTGCATTAATCCACCTGCGGAATACAATATCATTTTCGTAAAATGTACAATTTACAAGGTCGTCAAAATATTAAATTAAAAAACATGCGCCATTTTTGTAAATGCATGCTTTGCATAGAAAAAACATGACATTACGTAAAATCTTCATGGATTGTCTACAAAACGGTACTTTTTCTTGGTATTTTACACCGTCCATGTAAAAGCACGCTAATTTCGTGCAAAACGACTTTCAAAGCAGGAGCAATGTTACACGGTAAAATAATAACTATAAATATGGCACACTGTCTTTTTTATTATCCACATGTATGCTTACAGTACTCTCTTATTTGTTTCGTACCTGTACATGCCAACATTTTATATTCACTCAAGATTATGTATTTCCTTATGATGTGCTATTTCATGGATGGCATGACACAACTTCAAGGAATATATATAACGGGTCTCATACCCGACCTCCTTCCTGTGGTTTACAACATTTTAAGACAATAACGTTTAAAAAATAATAGTTAACTCTAATTTAAACATGCATTTTGATATAATTCAGGTGAAATTATACCTGTTTGTGGAGAAGAATAGTCACTATAACCATTAACCGTTGCCATAAATAATGTGTTTTTTTTTCTTTCACATCACTATACTGTACATGTCACCACACATTGAGAATTCTCTCTTATATTCACATTTACAAGAAATAGATAACTTCAAAACTTTCCTCTAAACAAACATAAAGTCTGGACCACGTGCGAATATCCGTTAAATCTGCATGCTTTTCTTGCAATTTTATGATATAATTTGTCTGACCAAGTAATGCTGATATTTACATAAAACACGTGCCAGCAAATATACCAATCAAAAGTCATGACACCAAAACAATAATAAATAGGCCAAATTTTCAATTTAGCGTTTCAGACAAGGCGTTTGGCATCTTTTCATGCAAATTTCATTTTTGGTTTTTATTTTATAAGCCCCCAAAAATTTTCACATCTATATAAAGTTGGCCTCGTATGGAAAGGGGTTTTAAAGGGCCCAAAATTAAAATTTGCTTTTTTACCGGTTGCATCGTTTTGGGTTTCTAAAATTTGTTAATCTTGCCCTTCTACTTTACAATCTTGCAATTTCTACCTTTTTCACATATTGGGGGATTCTGACCCCCTTTTTACATATTGCATTTGGGCTTTTAATTTTTGCATTTTTGACTTTCCCAAATTTCAATTTCTTTTTTGTACAAAAATTTTTCAAAATTCTGGACTTTTTTCCCCTGTTTAAATTTCTTTCTGCCCCATTATTTCTTTTGCTGTGTGCGGGCTTGCTTAATTGTATGTTGTGATGATCTTTCGAGGACTTTTTTTCGAAGATCGACTTAAATTGAAAAACTTAAATTTCATTTTCTTCAATCTAAAATTTTGTAAAGAAAACGTGGACACTTGTATTTTAAATGTACACTTAAAATGTACAATAAGCCACCATTTAACATGCAGAGTTCCATTTTTCCTGGAGACGACCTCAAGATCTCAAGATCACCCGTACTGTAAGGACAATGATAGGATGGTTGTTTAAAAATAGAGCACCCAAAGCTGAAAAAAAAATGTATCCAGATTTAAACCATGAAGGCGCTGATCACTTTATCAGTATGAAGAAAAGAACACACGCGCGCATACAGTACACACACAAAACAATTTAAAATTAAATCCAAACGTTGTTTATAAAGGAAAGTTTCGTTCATAATTTAAACTTTACTTAATCAATTATGCCCATTACAGTGTGTCTCTTGGAGATAGCTCCATTTTGTTAAAATGTGTTAAATTTTGCTTATTTTCATAGTGGATTACTGTCATAATACTAGAGTTATCATGCTCATGTTGAAATAATGAAGGTAGAGAGAGAGTAGGCGTAACAAAATAAACTTAACCCGGTGAAAAATAAAAATTTTTCTTTTTTGCCCTATTTTACCAAAAAATGGGGCACTTAAACCTTAAAACAGGTTTTCTTAAATTTTAAAAAACCCAAAAAACATAAAAAATTTTTATATATTTCATTTAAAAAGAGTTTTCCATGGGCCCTTTGGGCAAAAAAAGTCCTCAAAACTCCCTTTTTTCCCGGGAAACAGTGCAAAAATTTTATATATTCCAAAAAAAGTATAATAAATTTTATCTAGGGTTTTTGGTTAAAGTCATATTACTAGCTTCTAACGTTACCTGATGTTAGTGTGAATTATAAAGTAAGAGACATACTTTAGCCAGCCTATCAGTACTTCCGTAATTTTATTATACTTTTATTTAATTTCTTTTTCATTTTCATTATTTCTTATTTTGATTTACATTTTTTAATTATATAATATTTTTAAAAAAAATCTATTTCATATGCATGTATACTTTTTAATTATAGAAAAGTGCCATCCTTTCCACTAAAATGGCTGATTTTACAAATGCCCTGTTTTAACTATCTGCCTACAAATGAATATAATTTAGGAATAAACAAAAGTAGGTGAACGATTTTGTTTTTAACAACCATTTTTATTCATTTAATTTGTGGTCATTTTTCAGATTTAACGTTCCTTTTTCTTCATGGAGGTTTCCCAAAGCCATAAATTATAACAACAATGAAATAAATTATAATAGTTTGAAACAACTTTATTTAAAATGTAAAAAGCAGGATCTTTCAAATTCTTTTAAACATGTATATATCCATTATCCCCAACTTTTATTTTTTAAGTGTCAAGCGAAAATTTTAAAATTAGAGGAAACAAACATTTGAATTATATCACACATAATTAATTGAATTTCATGAAAACGGCACAATAATACTAGCAAACTATATAATTTAAACGCAAATATCCATTAAACCATGTTAAATTTGATATACAATGTAAAACCTACATTTGTAATATCATTATTACCAGACGCGGAACAGCACTTTTAACTCGATTAATTCTAATAGATCAATATTTCACATATAAATCAAGTCGTCATTATCGCCAAGCAGCAAACAAACAACATGGCGTCTTGCAGAAGTTTTGCAAGTTTACTGTTATGAAAACGAAATGTTGTGAATAAAAAGCTATGCATTAAATTGTTTGCTATTTTAGATTAGGTAAGTTAACTGAAATAATAATGAGAAATGAATTTTTTTCAAAGCGTGATACTGAGGTAAATTTTAAGTTTAAACGAGTGTTATAACGCGCACCTGTGCGGTAAGCATTATTTGTATGACTAGAAAAAGCCCTACAGAGTCTGTGTCAAATTAAGATTTATAGTACAAACTTTATTAACGTTAAATTTATGTAGAGACAACAGCTTTAAGCATGACATCGGATGTCCAAAATGTGTCAGATGTGGGATGCCAGATTATTTCCCAAGCCTTGGCCAAGGTCTCATCAGTCTCAGATAAAACAATTTTGATCATTAAATATCAAAGTAAATTTTATGTACTGCCAAATAAAGAATGCTTGAACTTTGGATGACCAAAAATCGTCGATATCCTATAGTCAACACCATTTCAGTTTGAGTCACATTTAAAGTCTTGTCAGATGACTGATGTTTGTTCAAAATGGATGTTTTTAAACAAAACATCCCCCCTTCCCCTGTAAATTGTAAATTAATGAATAAAAAAATGGAGAAGAAAAAAATTCCACAAAATGATGTCATGCTTAAATCAACATGTGCATAAGTATTTTAAACGTCATCTTTGTAAATGTACCAAAGATTGAAACATTAATTTATGTGATTGAAATGCCATTTTTTTGTAAGAACAAAGATTAAATGCTATTACATGTAGTTTGTATCTCACTCTAGAAACTGGATGCTTTCTACTCAATTTGTTACCTTTCAAAAAATGTAATGTAAAATGTAAAATAATACACATCTTGATATCATACAATGTTGGTCATTATACATTAAGTGTGACAATTCCAACTTGCCTGCAGTGTCATTGATGCATTCCAGATTATTTCTTATGGTATTTCTGTCATGAACACATAAGACCCAAACATCCTTACATAACAGTTTTAAGTTAGAATAATGTCAATTACATTTCAAATAAACTAGAGGTAGTGGAGGACAAAGAGATTAAGCACACATCACCACCTAATAGGTTAAAATACTTTATTATAGTCTACCTGTTTCGATCAAACATGATCTTCATCAGGACAAATAATAGATAAAATATGCCATTGAAGTGCTAAAAAAGAGGTTTCAAAATTTAAAATAGAATGTTATTTGGAAGTTTAAATGGCTAAAAGCATGGGTCAATTGTCAAATATGTAATGATTCTGAATAGTGAATACCACAATGTGCCGATTTTACACAGCGCATCCTTGACAACAGTAAAAGGAACTATTGACAACAATAAAAAGAACCATTGATTTTCTTTGTAGAAATAAAAAAAAAATTGTCAGGTTTTCTGTTTTAATGAAAAAGTCAAGCTATATATAAAGATCAGACATCGAATTTAGCAGTGGACTATGGCCAGTGTAAATTAGTTCAGGCCGGTGTAAATTTTAAGAAAATTTAGTTAAATATATAGACTAGAATAAAGTAAAACTGGAATTTGGGCCAGTAAATTCAAAATCTTAAATTCATTGACTGAAAGATTGCTGCGGAGGTGGCATCAATAGTGCAGTGTTTATTCTAGGATTCGAAAAACGGGGGGATTTTTCTCAAAAAAGTGAGAATTTATTAAGTTTGTTGATCTTTTTCCCTTCTTTCGCTTTGTAAAAATTCCCCCCCCCCCCCCCATCTGCCTCTGAAAAAATAGGGGGGAATTTTCAAAAATATGAGTGAATCTCCCCATTCCCCCCTCCTAGAATAGACACTGATAGTGTGAAAGTATCACAAACAAGCATGACAAAAGATGCGATAAACATGCATTAAGAATGAGTTTTTTGTTGTTTAGGGTACTAAAATGTATAAATTGCTATAACATTAATTGTCCTGTCATTACAACCCATTGACTTAAAATCATGTAGTGGCCAGGAACCCCTATTTTGATAGCAGAAAAAAGTTTATTTGTTAGACAAGTTATATTCCTGTAAATGACTTAACAAAAGTAAAGTTTCTGAGGTGTTTAAAGTCGTTCAAAATAAGATAACTATATATACAATGTAGCTGCTATGACAGTTTATAATGAGGGTAACATTATTTCAGGAAAGCATATGGGTTGTTTTTATTGTTTAATTCTAACCAACTTACATGTATGTAGATGTGTGTCTTTAAACTATTTGTATAAAACAGAAATATTGTGACGGACAATAATATATTCGGATAGTTGAAAATTCTGCTTATAAACGAAAATTAATTTTTACTTTCAGATTGTTAACAAAATAAAAAGAAGCAACCATGGATGATAGGTTGAAATGGTTAGAGACAAGAATTAGTTCCTCATTGAGGCCAAGGAATGAGGAACTAAAAAACATGTTCTTGAATGACGAAAATAGGTAAGTTAATAGTTTGATAATGAAGATTATATTTTTCAAGATTTCCTTTTTTCTGTAATGAAAAGAGGGCAAGTTCTCTAATGTAGCTAAAAATTTAAACTTAGTGATTAAATCAATATAATAAAAAATGTTACTTTAATTGTTAGTTGGTTTATATTACAACAAAAGGCTTTTAAGAAACTATTTGTAGTGGTTGATTACTAAACATATATGTAATTTCTTGCAACCATATATAATCTAATTAAGTTATACCAGAAATTCATTTTATAAGATATGCTATAGAAATATCAAATATTTTAATATATGCCAAATTGAACAGCATTTCTGAGGGTGTTTAATTAGTTACCCTATTGTAGTAATTTTGTTAAACAGAATCACATTTTCAGACTCTTTAAAATATTATTTATGAGATAGAAATACCATATTACTTTATCAATTTATTTTCACATATGGCCGATACCTATGAAACTCTTGTAAAAGATATTTTGGCTATTTTCAGATTGGCCTTCTATGAATTTATAAACAATGAGGATGTGAGGAAAATGTTTGTGTTTATCAAACCACCCCGACAGATTATTGCTGCCCTACAGCCACCCCATGATCTCAAATACAAGTCAATTTTCTTCCTGAAGAGCAACACGGGCACAAAGATAACAAAGGACAATATAAGTGAGTAGTTTAGTTGAGGGGTTTATCAGTTAGTTATTCCAGGACTGAGTTTGTTCCCAAATTTTGTGCAGTGAACTTGTCCTAATTTGTATTTGGAAGTGTCTTATTTTTATTTTTTTAAAGACTTTAAATATAGAAATGTGGAAATTGAGCTGGCAAGGGAATAGGCATGTCTGGTTAGATTTTATGTTTCTATCCTTGTAACATAGGACTCATTTTTACAGCTAGTACTCAAATATTGCAAAATCATGTATTATATTGTAACTTATAAATTTTAAGTTCAAAGTTATCTGTTAATTTATTACTAGCAATATGAAAATAAAAAAAAAACAATACATCAGTTGTGAAATAATTCAAATGTATGGAACAGGTCTTATTTCCTTATTTCATTTTGAATCCTTCAGATTATGACATATATCATAGAAACATTGTATAAGGAAAATACATTTATATCACATTTATTGCTTTGTTCTTTATGGCTTACAGTTGTAATGATATGCATTTGTATTTTGATAGGTGATGAAGTGTTCTACATTGATTGTACAAATATTCCACTGGAACACCTGGAGCTGATTGTCAGAGAAGTTTACCTCCCTTTGATGTGTACCAATCAATCAGTTATGACTTCAACAGGAGGTGATAAAGTCATGGATGTCTTACACAGGCTGATGTCAGCTGTAGAAATCACACAGGGACATGTGGAGGTTACTATGAATTCTGACATATTCTTTTCAAAGTCTAAATATTCAGATTAAAAAACTTTTGTACAGTAGACAGTACTCATAAAAGTTTCATTCAACCAATGAGATGATTTATTGATTAATCAGATGTCATGTATCTTTGAACAATAAAAGAGAGACAATTTAGTACATCTAGACCTTTATTTATTACACAACTTGGAGAGAAAAAGAATGAAATAAACCCTTTAAGGACTACTAGTATATAAAACTCTGGAATAAGATTTGATGTATATATATTTTCAGGGAAGGATAATTTTGAGTTTACCATCAATAGAGGTTCTTGCTGAAGCAGCTGCAGCCCCTAATCGTAGAGGAGCTGTACTTCATGTGTTGGAAACTACAGTTCTTGGATGGATCAAACAGATCAAGGTATTAAATTAAATTAGTACATTACCTGAATAAGGTGATGTTATGCTTTGGAATAATTCTTTTGTATCAACTGTGTGCCAGTTAATCTTTTAATAGTCATTTCAATCTTAAAAAAGATATAGATGAAGCCATTTACAACAGATATTGGTGATGGTTTTAACCAATATTTTTATTTAATTTATTTTTGACAAGCATGGTTAAACTTTTTGTTTGCTTCTATAGAGGTAATAAACTTTTTATCAGAGGTAATGGCCAATTTTCCTACCAGACAAACCTTGTTGAAGTAAATGTTTGAAATATTTATATAAAATGTACAGTCTGTCACTTTGATATAGTTTAGTAAATCTGATGAAAATGTTTCTTTTAATATTATAGCTGTTACTGGAAGATGAAAATTGAGTTCAGTTTGCATTTAAAAATAAGTCATATTCATCTGCTATTCTTTAAGTACTGTGGTGTGTATAAATTTCTATACACACATTAAATACAAGCCAGAAAATCATTTTCATAAACATTATTTTCAGTAAACTGAATACTGCTGTATTAACTTACAGAACTTTTCTCTACATTCAGGGTGTGTTACGTCACGATCCCATACAAGACCTGTTCCAACATTACGGCTCGGAGCCAGGTCCCCTAGATGAGATCAAGATGTGGGAGAGGCAACTGGGTCGCCTACATTCCATCTTGAGACAGCTAGAATCAGCTGTTGCCAAAGATATTCTCCATAATCTAGAGCAGGCACAGAGTCAATATGCACATTCATTCAACCATGTCAGAAAAGATGTAAATAAGGTAGGTTTTTTGTCATACACATTTTTTTTCAGAAAAAGATTAGGTACACTATATAAGTTAGTAAAATGAAATGAATAATGTCTCTGATGAGTCATTTATTCCTTGAGAGGTAAAGATGGTAATAACAGACTTATATGCTACATGTACCTGTAAAGTATCAGGCTATTTATTACTGATCACTTAATTTTTTGATTTTCATACTGAAACCTCATAGACAATTATGAATTTTCCAAATTCAAATTGTTGTAGGTCTGTTGTACATGTTCAGTAGAGTAAGATTTAAGACATATTATTTTCAAATGGTTTGTATTTCATGTTAACTCATGCTTATGTATTTTGACATAAAGTTTAAATTCTTTTTAAATAAATAATTCTCTATTTTTTTTCATAGTATTTTCTTCAGTGAAAGTTTATTCAGTGAATTATAAATGCTATACAGTGTATATACAGAACATAAATATGCAGATAGAAATAAGCTGTAATCATTGTCTTTGAATGAAATAAAAGGTCTCAAAGACAATGAGTTGATAATGTAAAGCTGCAAGGCTTATATTATAATGATTACAAAATTGTGCTTATCAAAACAAGCTTATTGTGATCTTGATTGCAGATGTGAGTAATGTATTAATAAAGAGTAACACTAAGAATATTGTTCACGAAGATAGTTTTATATACCCAGGCTGTAAGAGAGACCAACAGAATCTTGAGTTTTCTCAGTACAATGAGATGGCTGTTGAATGAGCTTCATCAAGCTGTAGAGCCACTGGAAATGTTACGACTGTTTAAACCACTCATGCAGGTCCTCTTCCTTGTGTGGTCACATTCTACGTAAGTATCAGTCAAGTTTTTTCTTCACAGTTTAAACATTTGCTACATTATTCTATAACCTTCTGAATTTCTTAAATGGACTTGTCCATTTTCAAGTTTTGAGGATATCAAGATGAAAAAATGAAGTTGGTCAGCCAACAGTATAGAGCCTGGTTAGACTTTATGTAAGTGTAGGCTGGCCTGGCTTTATACTGGTGGCAAAGGCTATTCACTTTTGGGTTCCAGCTGGTTAAGGATTGATGCCAGTCTTATGCCAACAAATAAGGGTTTGACAAGGCTTTCCTTTAGTGCAATTTGATCACACCTTCTATAATTTGTTGAAAGACTAATATAATGATGCTGAAATTGCCTCAACAATTTACATTTCAATATTGAGAGAAAAAAAAATGCAGAACACTATTAGTTGAATAAAGATTAACATAACTTCACTATACCAATACTTTAATGGATTGTTTCTAATTGACATTTATTTTTTTTGGTTGTGATAGAACAAAAGCATTGTTTTAGGAGTTACAAAAAGTAAAGGTTTGCAAATTTCTTATAAATGTACCTCATTCAGTTTATATGCAATTGTTTAAAGAACAATCTTCTATTATTTTATGAGTGTATGATGTTCTAGACTTTTATTGTAATAAGGAAATAATTTATCTTTAAATGAAATAACATGATGATTATTGTTAATGTATTTTGTATGTAGATACTATCACCAGATGGACAAGTTTCACAATGTGTTGAGGTTGTTGTCAAATGAAGTTGTACACAGAGCTATAGCTCTTGTTGGTGAAGATATCTTGAGAGAACCACTTGAGGTAAGATAGGTTATAAATAGTATGGTGTGTAAAATTTTTTTATCCTGTCTGGTTTTCACAAGTAAAAGAGCATTAGGTCTAAAATTCCAAGCCTTTGGAGCTTGAATTCTGTACTTGGTGTATGCTTTCTGATCTGTGGCATTTAAGTTTTCTTGATTTCTCCACAACTTATTTTAGTGATGTGATGCATATGGGAAAAATGGTAAGGTAGGGTAGATAAGATGAAATATGGTAGTACTTATATAGAATCTAAGGACGATAATAATATAGCTTTCTCTATTCAGTATTAGAGACTAATGCCTTTGATATAAAAGTTGAGACAAAGGACACAGAATAAAAACATTTTTTTCAATATTTTTTATTAATTTGAATATAAATTTCAATTTGCTGAAAGGTAATACACTTCATAATTACAGAAATTTCTTGTTTGAAATAGCTTCAGCTTTTCAATGTTTGAAGTTAACAATAATATTGTCATAATAATACATTTAACTTATATATCTTACATAATTTTTATAGTCATACACAAAGTTGAAAGAAGCTCTCAGAGTTTGTGCTGGATTTAGAGGAACCTACCTAGATTTTAAGGACAAGGCTGATGATCAGAATGCCAAAAATATTGCAGAAAATGCTGAACGATTGTAAGTTTATCTATAGTATAACTGCAGATCCATTTCATCTTCAAATAATGTTTCATAATTTTGTATATAATTATTACCTGAAATTTTAAATTTGTTTGAAATTTGAAGGAAGGGCAGTCAAGTAACACAAGAATTTTAAGGGATACATAATATTTATTTCAACCATAGGTATTCCAACATAACTGTAATTAAGTGTAAGTTTAGGCCATGGAACTTTTTTTTAGACATACCTAACATGTTACTTTATCTCTAATCCAATTTAAATTTTCGCTTTCTGTTACAGGGCCTCCAGACCAAGAGAGGGTACTGTTTTCCTGACAAAAATGTATGGGCCACATGCATTTACTCCCCGTTACGGTTTACGTGGCGGAGATAGCAGCTCTAGTGATGGTTCCCTGGATGAAGATGAACTTTGGACAGATAGCCCCTGGCCACCTAGAAATGCACCATGCTTTGATCTCCTGAATGCTTTCATGGAAAGGTTAGCACATTTTGTTTGTTTTTAAAGTGACATCATGTCCATCCAAGGGTATATTATGCAGGGATCATCCTGGTCAGGATTTTTAGTGAGAGATTTTCTCTCATTTGAGAAATTTTGATGAGAGAAATTAGATTTTCTTGAGAGATTTAATTTTCATGATGGGCGAGGTTAAAAATATGGAAATTTCTAACTTTTTAAAAATCACTGTACATATAAACATTGTTTATCTAATGAGGATATAAGAAGATGTAACTCTGTTTATTACAGTGATTTTTGTTTTCACTTTTTTAACACATCCTATGCCTTTTCTTTTGTGATTTTTTAAACATAATAAAATTCTAATTGTGAAAAATAAATATAACACCTTTATTCTGAAATATAGAAGAATTATACATGGATATCTACTACAACTATTATTTGCAGTCAATGTTCCTAATGGACAACACTGTACTGTACAGAAGTGATTGTTGAGATTTGAAGAATATTTTTATAACCTTTCATTTTGTTTTCTTTATGATTCTCTTCACACACCTCCCTCCATTAAAATATATACCTGAACACATAATGACAAATATCTCCATATCCACAAATATAGACAATAACTAAAGTAATTTTTATTCATAAACATCATTTTTAGTGTTATAAAACACCTTTAAATAACACTCGGCTTCCTTTTAGAATTTTTTTTAATCACGACATCGCGAAAATATGTGACAAATGAATATTTGTCTGTTTTCCGCTAAAACATTCACAATTCTAGCTGTTGCTGATTGCAATTATATAAAATTAAATATTTTTGTTCAATAAAAGAACATTTATTATCGGCTATTTCATCAGGAATCGTAAAACAAAATTTTTTAATTTGTTCTTTACGGCAAAATTTACCGTGGTTGATGTGACATTTAGAAGACAAATTTTACCGGTAGATTTATTTTTGACATGTCCATTTTTATGTTAGTCTGTGTCTAAATTTTTTTATTAAAATCAATTAAAAGTGTTTTGTGTAAATTCTCGACTTACAGATAGATAAAGGTTAGCCATCATACCGTATTTCTGTACGGTTAATTTGCGGTCTCCGATCAGCAATTATTTTAGGCTAAATAATTCAAAGTGTTGGACTACTTTTTGGAGTTTTTTACACCGATTTCATTAATTAACAATTTGAAATTAAATTCTTGATGGGAATCGTGAATTTTTCATCATATTTTTGTGTTATTTTAGCATTCCTTAGATTGTGATTAGACATTTTCCGGCTCAAATTGCCGTGTGAGATTTTCTCTCATTTCACAAATTTCTCTGAGATTTTGGTGATATTTTTGCGAGAAATCGCGGAAATCGCCCCCTAGAATGATCCCTGTTATGAATGCACAGGTGAAAGTCAAATAAAATTTACATTTTCAATTTTATAATTTACTTTGTATGAAAAATAAATAAATTTGTATAAACTTGTTATCATAGTATTTGATGTAATAATAAAAGCCAATCTTCATAAAAAACATTCTTAGAAAATGAGAACACTAGTCATTGAAAAGTAGCTCTCCAGGAGATGTACCTTATCTCTTTTCACAGTCAACACAATATTTGATCTTCAGACATTTCAGGATCTGGTGTTTAATTGAAGTAAGTCTCTAAGTTTGACTGTATTCTTAGAATTGCTATGGTACAAAAGAAAAAGATTCAAAGAAGTAACTTGTAGATAAAATTTCATTTCAGGTGCAATGATGTTCTAGAGCTAGTGGAGACAACAAGACATTTCCGTCTGCTAGCAGGTGCCGCTGAGATAGGTGGAGCTGGAAACATGAGCCTCGATGCCCTCGTGAAGGAGATCCACGAGAAATACACCCAGGCCATGGCCGAGTTCTTCTCTGTTGTTGAGAATGTTCTCAGTATAGATGGTTCACAGAATTTTGAAAGAGCTTTCTTTAAGTTTAGAACAGTTGTCAAGGTGATTAGAATGATATATACAATAATTTTGTAAAATATTGGAATGATAATAGGGTAGTTTAGGTATAGGGGTTTAGGTGTCTGCTGTTCAATCCAGAGATTTGGGTTCAATGCCTACTTAGGTCATAAATATCATTCTTTTCTCATTTAATTTTAATACTGATTAATCCAGGAAGTGAACTAGAAGTAGATTGAATAAAGTTTACATCTGTTTAGACTCCTTACAAAAAAACAAACCAGAACAGGTTTAAAATAAAGGTTTAAGAAAGGTTGGAGAAAAAATCTTTTTTATGGTTTAAATTTTATAATTTACTATTTTGTTGTTTTAGTATAAAACATGCATTTTACCATAACAATTTCACTTTTTTATCTATTTTCTAAGTATAATTCTAGGTATAAATAAAAACTTAAAATTGTTGAAAATGAAATTTATAAGTTTTTATAACAAGTCCCATACCTTTGCAATGTGCTTAAACAAAAGGCTTTTATATTTTCAGTCCCTGGAGAAGAGATTGGCAGAGATATTGCGATTGGCATACAATCAATGTCCAACAGTGGAAGCACAACTCAGACTGTTAGAAGTCTTTGAAGGAGTGAGTGGCAGAGAACTTGTACAGGTACAGATTTTAAACATTACTAAAATATCATGCTGGAAATATTTTTGAGACTTGTCTTTGCCACCAGTAGAAAACAAGGATAGCCAGCATTACTCAATACACTTTGGTGTTCAATTTTATTTCGACATTGAAACTCCCTTCCACTCAGACTTAATAAACACTAAGTCAGGAGGGAAAAAGCTGTAATAATCAAACTGCAAATTCAACATTTTGCTATGTTTAACTAACAAATCTATAGTAGAGCCTAAAAGTTCATATGAAAAAGTTGACCATGTCCATCAATCATCTTTTAATTAATTCTTTTTATACAGCTTTCTTGAATAAAATTCTTCAATTAGTAGTTTCATGGTGGGTAATGTGTTATCTATGATATTTTTTAGAGGGTTATATATAAATGAAATAAAGAAAATTATACACAGAAAAATCACACACAAAAGTTGGCATGCTGTAGCCAGGATTCAAATCACGGGTCTTGATTGCCAGTCCAATATTCCAACCAATACACTACAGTGGCCATTGCGTTTCCTCTCTCTATACATATATATAGATGATTATCATCATTATTAGCTTCATTTAAGTTTTGATATTTCTACAGGCACACTTACAAGACAAAGACCGAGCGTTAGTTCTAGCCTTCAACCAGGAGCTCAGTGATGTACGTAAAATGTACGCAGAGGGACATCTTGACCCACCTCAACATTCCAATATGCCACCAGTTGTCTCAAAACTCATGTGGATTTGTGCTCTCAAAGAAAGGATTAAGGTATGGGCATTTTATCCTCATCTTCTATTACCTGTGGGTTTAAATTTCTCTAAAAAAAAGCTTCAGTTTTTTTCATGTGAGGAAACATTGCCAAATTCTTTGATTTTACCTACCTTTAATGATTGGATTTTCTATAAAAATACATTTGGAAAGTCCTAATGCGACTTTAATAATTTTACCATGATGCCAAACCTAATTAAAGAAAAGCTCTGTATTTCCAGAATTACAGAATTATTTGATTCTAAAGGACTTTAAATGAGGCATTTGACAATGATTTTCAAACAACCTTTTCAGTTCTTTATGCCTAAAAAGTGTGAATATTTACTTGTTCTCAAGTAAAAGAAATTTTTCATCTCATTTAAAGTGTAATGGTTACCTCATCTCAGGTGGATCATAAATGTCTGTAGAAAATAGTTTTTTCATGTAAAATTTAGACCCTGCCTTATAAGGTGTCAGTCTTGTAGGTGAGTAAATATGGTAATTTGTAATAATAAATAATATTTATTTAGATATGATCACATACATCTTTCATCATCCATCTCTGATTCTTTTATTTGACAAATATAGAGGCCAATGGACAAGATGAAAAGGGTGAGTCCTCATTCAATGGATGGAGATGCAGGTTGGCAGATGAAGGAAAACTATATGGAGGTGCTCAGAGATCTAGAAGAGTAAGTTTTTATGTCAGATATCATGTACAAAAACTATTCTGTTATATAAATACCTGTAGATGATTTTATATTGCTACATGAATCTGCCAAATCATAACACATAACTTGCTGAATTTCTTAAATTGACTTTTTCAACTCAATTTTGGCAATTGTCCATTATCAATTTTGGGGATGTCAAGATTGGTTGATCAGCCATTAGTATAGAGTCAGGTCAGACTGCAAGATGTGCTGGCTGGTCTGGCTGTATACTGATGGCAAAGATTATTCACCTACAGTTCAAGAGTAAGGTTAACCAACTAAATGTTTGGAATGATTATAACTATGTACCTGTATATTTTTTACAGTTATGAGTCACTTGTAACAGATGAATGGAAGAGGAATATCACATCAGAATTGACCATGAGATTGAAACAACCACTCCTGGTAAGTGGGTTTTTTGGTGTTTTTTGGATGCAGATTTATACCAACAAAAATGATTTTTCTTCAGTAAGAACTGCCACAGCTTGTCACAATCTGAAAAACACATAACCTTTAGTTTGCTGAATAAAAATTTTGAACTGTCTTTATGCCCCCACGGAGTGGGAGCATATAGCGTTGCACTTGTCCGTCCGTCCGTACGTCTGTCCGTCCATCTGTCCGTCTGTCCGTACGTCCCGAAATCTTGTGAACGCAACTCCTCTTAAACCGGATGGCAGATTTTGCTTAAACTTCTAGGGATTAACAACCTTAATGTGTAGATGGTAGTAAAGGAAGGAATTTTTGCTGCGACCAAATTTAACAGAATTATGGCCCTTTATTGATTTTTTCACTATATACCATGTAAAAATTTTGTGAACGCAACTCCTCTTAAACCGGATGGCAGATTTTGCTTAAACTTCCAAGGATGAACAACCTTAATGTGTAGATGGTAGTAAAGGAATTTTTGCTGCAACCAAATTTAACAGAATTATGGCCCTTTGTTGACTTTTTCACTATATACTTTATAGAAATTTTGTGAACACAACTCCTCTTAAACTGGATGGCAGATTTTGCTTAAACTTTCAGGGATGAACAACCTTAATGTGTAGATGGTAGCAAAGGAAGGAATTTTTGCTGCGACCAAATTTAATAGAATAATGGCCCTTTGTTGATTTTTTCACTATATACCATATATATGTTGTCAGTGAGGGCATCCGTGTCCTTTGGACACATTTCTAGTTTTCATTTGCTTCAAGTTTGAAGAACTCAAACTGGGCAGACAAAATTACTGTATCTATTCTTTTCAACTTTCAGTGCAACAATGATATCCTAACTGGCCAAGTTTTATAATTCTTGCATCAACCTGAAGTTAATGCAAGCATCACTCACATATTTATAGTGATTTAAAGATTTCTTATTTGATTTATAAAACAAGTCCAAAGGTATGGTTCTAAAAATTCCATGCTCTAAATTGAATTTTGCTCATATGAAGAAGATATCTAGCTAACTGCTGATGGAAAGTCATAGGTGCTTAGAATCAACATATTTCCTATATTGATTTATAGTTTTCTGAGGCCTTCCTCTTTTAGAAAAACTTAAAAGTTGCCATAAGATCTTATCTGAGTCATTGTTACTATAAATAGATTATATATTTAACTTGTTATGTTATATAGATTGCAGAAGAGTATGATGAAGATATTGAAGTGCGGCCTCAGGTCGTACACGTGAATCTCGACCCACAACTACTGCTGTTACTGAAGGAAACCCACTATTTAAGCCAGGAGCCATTCAATATAAAACTGCCAGAGTCAGCAAAGGAACTGCTGAGAAATAGTAACCCATTTGAACTCCGGGTAACAGCTACCAGGCTGGAAACTATAGTATCCAAGTATAACACCATCATGAGGACCATGACTCAGTTTGAGAAACCATTGTTTGAAAGAAAACTTGCAAAGATAGACATTGTAAGTATAAAGATTTTCAGCTTGTTATTTTATTATCTTTTAAAGTTATAGGAAAAGAGAAATACATTTCAAGTGGGTTTTAATACATTTCAAGTGGGTTTTGCAGAAAAATATATATTTTCTCTATTGTAAAGAGCAAAATCTCAATGTTTAAAATGTAAGAAAGTGTCAAATGTATTGTTGTGTATGTGAAATATTTATTTGCTCATATGACTTGTAAATTCTTGAAATGAAACAGTAAAGTTTTATTAAACTATTTATCATTATTTTAATATTTTTAAAAGTAGAACATATTAAATTTTTTACTTTCATAAATGTGACTCTGGAAAGTCATTAACTGTCTGACATATTTTATCTTTGATTGGAAATCCAAGAAAGTAATTTATTAATTTGAATATTTGGCAGATTTCACCTTTTCTCTATGCCAATGAGTTATTGAACCTATCTCTTTTACACTATGATTTTAAATAAGTAATTCATAATCTTCCATGTTAATTTGATGCATTTGATAATATACTGTATAAATGCATAAATTTTGGAGAATTTCGCAAATTGACAAACATCACTAAAATTTCCTGTAGTGTAAATGTCAACCAATATGTCATTAAATTCTACCCTGGATGATTCGCTAATATTTCCTCATGCAAAATGTCTGAAATTTTATATTCCCTAACTTATCAACACACGAAAATATTCATTTATACAGTAATGTTTTGATTACAGTTGTTTGAGCAAGGTTTACAAGAGTATACATGGAAGATGAAGGAGTCGGCAGATTTTATAGAACAGGCTATGGCACTTGTCTGTGTTGATGTTCATCAGAATCTCGACATCGTACAGACAAACTCTCACGATATTGCCGAGATCACAATCTCGTGGTCTAAGGGAACGCTGGACGTGTTTTCTGGACGAGAAGCACAGAGGTCATACTCAATGGAAGACCTTCTTGGCATGCAAGCGTAAGTTGTCAGACTTTAGTCTATCTTCATATGCCTATAAATATAGGTCATTTCATTCAGGCTTCTCGTTTGTTACCCATTACAATCCTGCTAATGAAACTGAAAAGCTTTTGTCACAGTACAGAGACTAGCCATTTTGCACAAACATAAGTTTTCTCAGGCTTTACTCACTTGGCTGACAGACTTCCAAGTTTTTCAACCTAATTTTCCTGCAAGTGATAATTTCAAAATAAAATTTAAGCTATGTTACTTATATTGTATATGTAGTCTTTCCTTTTGTTAGATTAAAATGATATATAATGGCTGTTTATATGTTATTGTTTGAAGTAAAGAAACGATGTCTATATATGCTGACTTTAATTATAACAGGAGGTTAACAGAGGATCATGAAAGTGTAGTTATACCATCAGGCCACAAAATACACAGTCTTGTACTTAACTCATTTGAGGTAAGGAAAAATCGTTTTTTTGAAATTTACTTAATTCTCTCCAGTGTTTAGATATACCTGCATAAGTAGCCTTGTAATATGGTTAAAATTAGAATTGTTTGAATGCAATTGGCAAAGCGTTTTCAAATTTGCAACTTGTTTTCTATGATTGAACTTATCTGTACAATAAGATTAAAAAAGGAGACTATTGAATAAACAATTTTCGGAAAAGTATTTAAATGGAAAATATTTTACAAATATTTGGAGTCATTTTGATCAAGATTTTGTAAACATCCAAAGACTTTCGCCTATGCATTTGAATTTTGGTATAGAAATATTCTCTACTTGCCAAGTTTGGTTACACAACAGAAATTTCTAGTTGCTCAATTTCAAATTTATGACTTGTGAACTTTGAGTTTCATGTTTGTTTGAATTTAGCGTATTTTTATTAGTGTTAAAATAAAGTATCTGACTAATAACTATATTTTTTTTCTTTGAATATTTTTCATACATATTATTCCTTGTATTTGTGTATTTCAGGCTGTACAGATATCTCAGGCTTCCCCAGCCTGGCAGGATTTTATTGACTATATAGATGCTATAGTGTTAGATGGTCTGAAACAGGCAACACTTACCAGTCTTAAAACTATGCTTAACAATCTCGTACAAGCAAATATGGCTGAGGTATGAATCTTTTGTTGTAAAATATCTTTAATCATTAAAATGCCATTCTTGAAAATCAACAGACTTTGCCACCAATCTAACTAGACTCTATATTGTTGTTTTACCAAATTGAAATTTTTATCATAACATTTTTTAAAATAAGCAAAATTTTGGTATGATAATTTTTTTTGTGAAGAAAAGTTTAAATGAATCTGAAAGACATGAGAAAAGAAAATTAGTTCAACAAATTATAAAATTATTTCTATCTGTTAAAATTCAAAACTGTGAACACATAATTATTGTGATTCTTTACTGTTTTATTGTGTTAAACAATTCATTTTTTCCTCTCTGGATAATAATTGAGAAACCAATTCTGACATACCATTTGTATTAGATTTTAAATTAACTACTAAACTTCAAAACTGTGATTACACTTTCATATGAGCCGCGTCATGACAAAACCAACATAATGGGTTGGCGACCAGCATGGATCCAGACCAGCCTGCGCATCCGGGCAGTCTGATCATCCATGCTGTTCGCTTACAAACCCTATAACAAGTAGAGAAACTTATAGCGAACAGCATGGATCCTGATCAGACTGCGCGGATGCGCAGGCTGGTCTGGATCCATGCTGGTCGCAAACCCACTATGTTGGTTTTGTCGTGACACGGCTCATATTTTGTTTACCCTCAGGATGATGATTCTGTTGTCCCTATTCTGACTATACGTTTGGAGCTGATAGACAACCGTGTGGCATTCAGACCACCTCTAGATCAGACAACATCTGTGATAAGTGTCCAGGAATTAGTACATCAGTGGCTGGATGGATTCTTGGCTCGAGGACGTCTAGTCAAAATGCTTGGTCCAAAGGTAAAAAAAAATTATTTCATACTTGTAACATAATCTTCGGTTTTACCAGTTAGACACTGAGTGTTTGTGAAAACATATTAATTTTATCAAATATCATAAATTGATAATTTGATGGCTATTTGTTTGTTTGTTTTAATAGCTCTACCAGTATACTTACTTCTTGACAAAATTCTTGATTATAAACAATATTTCATTTATGCCTCAAAGATATAGAAAAAATATGACATTTTCATCTCATATTTGGAAAGAAATTTGCTGCATTGGTTATTTTGTAAATAATTTTGATGACTACATATAAGTCTAAAATCATTTGTAATCCATTTGCCTTTGATGGGGGAAGGTAGTACTGTTTCCAGGAAACGTCAGTATTAGGCTCAATTATAGTTTAACTTGCTCTTTTTCCAGACAAATATTTTAATTATGAATAGGTAAATTAATGTGTTACAATTCCAGGGTACCTATCAAGATTATATCTCCGCAGATGAAGAAGTTAAACAACTTCTGGTTGATACAAACAAACTGGTTGAAGAAAATGGTGAAGAATGCAAGGTAATATTTGTTTAATAATTAAGTTACAATACTTTCATATATTGTTCAAGAAGAATTTGATAGTCTTAAATTACTACATACAATGTTAATATTGAACAATGCCAAAAACTTCCTGAAAAAATCTCAGATAATAAAATTATTTCCTTCCATTTTCTTCTTCAAAAAGCAAGCCTAGTTTTTACACATTTACTGCAATGCTTGGTTCAAGACAAAAATAGTTATAGATATGCTTTTTTTTTGGTATACACAGAATGATATAAAAATCCTATTGATATTTTATTTCCTATTTAGATACTGTATTCCTAGAAATGTTCACGGATACAATATTTCGCGTTTTTCACAACGTCGGCATTTTCGCGGAGACAAACTTTCGCAGATATGTAGTAACCGCGAATTCCGCGAATGTTAAGTCGCTACGGCCTAAATTACATTTTTTGGAGGCTACGTTTTTGATGCATGACCTTGCCTGTTGGGTGCTTTTAATTTTTTTTTTGACAAGTCGCGCCTAAAGCGCAACGTTACTCGATACATTTTCATCTATTGACTACTTTCATGTTTCCTTACCTTTTTCATTATGTGATTAAGTAAGATTTAGTCAGACCCGTTAGCTTTTTTTCTCATTTGAATCATAACTGACGTTTTCTTCAAAATGTCGATACGTAATTTTTACACATTATCGGACTGTACATCGCTTTCATTATAACAACATAACAGTTGTTAATCAATGTAGCCCTTGATCTCTATTGTACTTTTAACAAAGGATTACACCTACTCCAAGCAAATAAAATCCAAGTCATTCAATGTTCACAAACTGTAAATGCGTTTGTCAACGCCGTGACTAACCGTCAATAAGCATGATAATTACTAATAATTGATATTTTCTTTTTCAGCGTGCAAAATAGTATCAATAACATACATAAATAATTCTTTACACATTTTATAGCACCTGTGTTTTTGTGTTGTTTTTTTTTTTTGTATAAGTAGATTATAATAAATATTCTGCACTTTTTATGTTATATTTGGTTGAAGCTAGAAATGTTCGCGGATTTGTTATAAGTGACATATTCGCGGCGATAAAGATTCGCGGAATCATGCCTACCGCGAAAAGCGCTAACTTAAAATGCGCGAAATCTTTTCTAGGAATACAGTATTATGATTTAAATGTATTTAAATAAATATAACAATTGAAGCTGTAAATTCCTTTAAATGAAATGCTTTGATCACTAAATTAAAGGTTCATGTATTGAAAGAAAATTTATGTGCCATTTTATATCCATTATTTATATAGAAACTACTAGAGATATTTAGTGATTATGCATTCCTGTGGTTACAAGATGTCAACATTACATTTGATGAATTCCTACGTGGAAATCTGACACCAAATCCTCTACGTAGCCCACACAGAGGTCCAGCTGGTAGCATTAGACAACAGTTAGCTGAAAGGTCAAGGACTGAATCCAGGTATGCCAATTAACAATACTTATATTATTTCCTTACACATTGATGCATGACTTTCATTTCTCATGTATAGCTAATACTTAAGATTCTTTCCTAAACCATCTTCCAGAACTTGATTACTTTCTATGGGACCTTATACAGATTATGACTAATAAAAGTTTGGGTACTGAGCCATCAAATAGAACGATATTTTTTAAAGATTTTCAACATAATTGACCACATATATTATAACTATAATATGTATTGATGATTTCTTGGTCATGTATTTCAATCCAAAAAGAGGTGAATTTTTTTATCTGCTTAGGCCATCGCTTTTTGATTATCTTTGGAATTTTGGAATGCTTAAGAAATGAATTTAATTAATGATGATAATTGTTTATTTTGTCATAATGAAAAAGAAACATTGATTCATCTTTTCTATGACTGTGATGTAACACAACATTTTTGGGAACAACTAGTTACTACAAGTTTATATTAATGATAGATGCCACCTTAACATTCAAACCTGGAGCCAGTTAGATATATTGTTTGGCAGTGCTCATCTTGATTAAGTTATAAATAAAATAATATTACATGCCAAATATTACATAATTATAATACTGTAGATTAAAACAATTAAGGCCTGATATAGGAACATTTTAAACAACAACTGTGTGCCAGTTATAAAATTGATAAATATATGTCCAAACAGTCATTCAAGCATACGGTAATGAATTTGAAAAAGCATGGGAAAAATTCAATAATTTAGTGAGCCCCTTATGATTGTGATGTCTTTTCTTTTAGATTTAAATTAAATTTATAATAAGTTTGTAGGGGTGTTACTACATGTTTATAATTTATTCATAATTATTTTTAAACTCTTCCCCCACCAAAATCTGAATGTTTATAATTTAATCATTCTTCCTCAACCTGAAAAATTCCTCCAAGAAAGAATTACTTGCCAGTTCATTTATATGTAAGGTTACCGCTTAACGAAAACTCTAGTAGTTGGCACCAAAAACCTTTTATATAGGTTTTTTTTTCTCTATCCTTTTTTTATAATATTTTTTTTTCTCTTCTTTTTACTTCTCTATAGTTCAATGTTTCAAACAAGCTGTCTAAAACATTAAAAACAAAACAAAAAAAACATCAAAATGAATAAAGTGTTTCTGTTAGCACTATTAATTTTTCACTCCCTTTTCTAGTGTGATACCTTAACATGTTTTATCAGTAAATGTGTATGATTTTTTTTCTTTCCTGGTAAAGGTATATGTGGGTTATGTATTTACAAGTGAATTGTTTTGATTTTATTTCTTTAGTTGGAAAATTGACTGGTGAGATAATACCTGTATCATTTTATATTTTCTGTTTTTGTTGTTGTTGTAAAGACATAAGTGGGTTATGTATATACAGGATTACTGTTGGTTGTTGTTGTTAGCTCACCTGACCACGAATTGGTCAAGGTGAGGTATAGTGATGGGGCTATGTCCGGTGTCTGTCGTCGTGCGTCGTGCGTTAACAGTCTAGCAGTCACAGTTTTGATTGGATCATCATCAAACTTTGTCAGAATGTTTGTCTCAATGAAATACAGATTGGAAATTTGTCAGGAAGGTTGTTTTGATGATTTCTAGGTCAAGTTTGAAGATGGGTTATCTCCGGTCAAAAACTAGGTCACAGGAGCTAAAAATAGAAAAAGCTTGTAAACACTCTAGTGGCTGCAGTATTGATTCAAATATTCTGGAAATTGGTCAGGAAGGTTGTTTTGATGATTTCTGGGTCAAGTTCGAAGATGGGTCAACTCGGGTCAAAAACTAGGTCACATGAGCTAAAAATAGAAAAAGCTTGTTTACACTCTAGTGGCTGCAGTTTTGATTCAAATATTCTGGAAATTTGTCAGGAAGGTTGTTTTGATGATTTCTGGGTCAAGTGCTAAGATTGGTCATGTCCGGTCAAAAACTAGGTCACAGGAGCTAGAAATAGAAAAATCTTTTTAACACTCTAGTGGCTGCAGTTTTGATCCAAATTTCCTGGAAATTGTTCAGGAAGGTTGTTTTGATGATTTCTAGGTCAAGTTTGAATATGGGTCGTGTCCGGTCAAAAATTAGGTCACATTGCCCAAATATGGAAAAATCTTTATAACACACTATAGGTCACATGTTTGACTCAGTTGTCATCAATCTTGGCCATGATGCTTGTTTTAGACATTGCTTGGATGCGGTTGTGTCAGGTGAGCGATCCAGGGCCATCATGGCCCTCTTGTTTTTTAATGGAGATTTGAAGATATAATTGTTTTTCGATAAGAACAATATGAAAATCAGAAGTGTTTTTGGAAAACATTAATTAAGAATGTAAATAGCATGCTATAATTATGAGTTTATTTCTTCATTAAAAATGTATTATGTTACAATCAATCAAATAGTATAAACATCCAAAGTAGAAATATACTTTTTTCTCACAGTCAACAGAAAAATAAGAATAATGTTATAACATTTCTAGTTATATGTTGGACATAAAGATTTTAATTATCGACAGCTTAGATTGTAATTTAAAAATATATTACATTATAAAAAAAACAAAAACAAAACTCCCATAGAATTTTTAAAAATTAAAATCTTTACTTGAATTAGTACTTGTAACATGTATTATATATAATTATTAAAAAAGATAATTTAAGTTTGAATGTATTGTGTGTTTTTTGTATATGTGTAAAAATATGTTTATTATTGGAAAAAATAAATGGGTAACCTATGGTTACTGAAATTTAAAAAAAAAAATCTTTGGAATTTTGACTGTTGTCGTTGTAAGCAGATGTACAATGTGACTGAAATAACATACTGATGTCTTTTTCAACAATGATAACTATACAATGGCCATAAGACCATTTATTTTACTAAAAACAAAATTAGAAAGGTTGATAATCTTATACTTATTATGATTTCCATTATGTAATAAAGATTATTTTTTATAGGGCATCAACAGCAAGCAGTGTTCAGTCTGCTGGACAAATGGGTACAGCAGAGAGAACTTTCCTTACACCTAAACATGCACAGGCTAACATGCCTTCCAATGTCCCATCACTGGATGAATTTGATGCTGAGATTGAAATATACAGGGTAAGCTTCTTTATTATTGCAGTGGATGAGTTTTTAACTTCTGACTGAATGACTTATTCTTTAATTACTATTATTTAACCCTTAGCCAGTGGCAAATGACTTTACCCATGCAACCAGTGCAGACCAAGATCAACTAGTACATTTTTGCTGTCTGATCATGGTCTGCACCATTTGCTATTCAATCATTACATATTTTGAAATTTCCCTGAGAATGATTAATTGCTTTTTAAGATTGAGATTGAAAGATGGACAAGTCGATTTAAGAAATTAAGAATGGTAAGGGTTAATGGATATGTATACTTCAAATAAAAGAAGAAAAAGTTTATGGAAGATTGTATAAATGTGACAAGATTGAATTACAGTATGTGGTGTTGGTGATGTGTTGAAGGACACTGATTTTGAATCACTGCAGTGAGTTTAAATCCTTCTATGGACTTTGAATTCTTTCATGTGCAAATCCTATCCAACTTGGTGGGTTCTTTAGAGTGCTTGTTTTTTCAAGAATTTGTGCTTAGAGTGACTTCTGAGATCTTTATCTGAAAACTGGAAAGTCACTTTGTGACCCTAACAGTGTAAGTGTGATTTATAATTCAAAGAACAAAAAAGAGAAATTATAACTATATTTTTTTATTTCTTTAAAAAAGAACATATTTGTAAGTCAACTGTTTTGTGTTATAGACTGCCAGAGATGAGATACAGAGTTTAGAAGATTTCCACAACATCGGTTGGTTGAGAGTTGACCTTCAACCTATAAAACAAGTGCTCACAACCTATGCTGCTAAATGGATGTGGACATTTACAAAATATCTCTCTGATCAGGTATAACTATTAAACTTGTAGACTGGCTCTATTTTATCATTAACAGGAAATTTTATACTTATTTTGAGATTGAAAACCAATCTTTTCTATTTAGAGCCTTATGCACTTTGATTTTTGTTTTATTTTAAGATGGAATTTCGATTTTAAAGATGTCTTTGGAGTAAAATTATGGCTTATGTAGTGATTCTGTACACTTGAATGTGAAACATCGAGCACAAGGTATTAATTTCTTATCATTAATCTTATCACAAACAAGTTGATTATTTTAATTTATAAATTTCTGTTACACATAATTTAGGTGACCCATATGCTGGAGAGATTGGATGATTTTTTGAAGCGTATAGAGCCAGAGATAGAGAGTATAACAGGGGAGGAGAGAGACACTGCTTCCTTCATGAAAATGATGAGACTCTTTAATGAGGTATTACTCTAGTTTTACCAACTTAAATGACTATGGAAAAAGTATAAATGATAATTATCAACGTGGGATACAAAATTGTGCAGTTTGTTGTAATGAACACATCAAGTAGGATTTCTTTAGAAGAACACATTTTTTATCTTTATTGCCAAACAAAGGAGAGAGGTTGTTCTTTATATGTTTGTGTTGTATCCAAAGAATCTTGGGCTTTAGCGATACTAAGTTAAATGTATTGATACATTTATATGAGAATAGTACTTGTTAAGTAAGGAATCAATTTGTTCAGCTTATACAGTTTTACCTATATATACCTATACAAGTGTCAACAATGGCTGTCAGGTTTCAGTCTTCAAGTTAATATACATACTGTTTTGTTGTTGTAGGTATCAGCCCAGCAGTCGGAGATGGATGGAAAGTTTGCTGCCATGCACAGAACTGTTCTGCTATTAAAGAAGTATGGTCAGAGACTGCCAGATAAGACCCAGCAATTGTTTAATGCTGCTCCAAGTAGATGGAATAATCTCAAGACCAAAGTATCTCTGGCCAAACAGAGGCTCGGACCTAGAATACAAGAAGAATCTGTCAGAATTACTCATGTAAGGACCATGGGATAACTTTATTTTTATTGTGTGACTTATGTAAACATACTTTACAAAACTTTTCATTGAAGAAATCTATGAAATCTAAAGCATTGGTTCAATATGGATTTAGAACAAATTCTAGAAAAAATTTATATTGAAAACAAGGAAATCATTTTGACTGGAGATTTTAACTATAATTATGACCCACTTACTCGATCTACTAATAACACATGCTGGAATAATATTACTAACAGTTTCAATTTAAATCAACTTGTTGAAAAACCCACCAGAGTAACTCAAACATCTAAAACCATTATAGATCATCTCTATACAAATTTTTCTCCACAATATTTCTGAAAATATCCATCCTCAATTGTCCATTAGTGATCATTTCCCAATCTGTTTCACACCGCAAAAAATATCAAATACAGTTACCAAAGACCCTTTACATCAGATAATACAGTATCGAAATGTTAAACAATTTAATGAAACAGATTTTGTGGAATCTCTTGAACAGCAGCCTTGGTCAGTGATAGAGAGATATTTGAAGATCCAAACGATGCTTTGGATTTCTTCAACTCTTTATTTAATGAGGTTTTAAATTTCACAAGCCCCTCTCAAACGAAAACGTGTAAAACACACACATCTCCCAGACTGGTACAACCCTGATATTCTTCATGCATCTAAACAAAGAGATAAAGCTAAGAAATTAAATAACAATGATGAATATAAATATTGGAGAAACACTTTAAAAATCTAATCTCAAAGTCAGAGAAAAATTACTTGTGACGCAGAAACTATAAAAAAAAAATAAACACAATACAAAAGAAATGTGGAAAAATCTTAAACAATTATCAGGCAAATCTACAAACCACCAGACTAATTATATTCAAGATGAACGCATTTAAAATAGCTGAGGTTTTCAATAACTACTTCATTGATATTTTCAAATCTTCTCCAGAAAATTGCTCAAACTTATCACAAGAAGATGAAATAAGATTGCATGAGTTTATTGAAATGCATTCAAATGATAAATGCCCTTTCAAGATACCTGAAATTACAAGTCAATTTATAAACAAAGAACTACAAGATCTTGATGTCAAGAAGTCAACAGGTCTAGATGGTATAGGAGCCAAATTTCTTAAAAATAAGTTCTAAAATCATATCCAAGCCTTTGGAGAAAATATTCAATCTCAGTCTATCAAGTGGCTTATTTCCTTCTGCCTTTAAACAAGCAAAAGTAACACCTATACATAAAAAGGGCAACAAAAATGAAAAAGGTAACTACAGGCCTATATCAATACTACCAGTTCTATCGAAAGTTTTAGAAAGACATGTTAGCAATCATCTTAAATTATTTCTTGAAACTAACTCTCTTTTTCAGCCAAATCAGTCTGGCTTTCGCACAAATTATTCATGCGAAACTGCTCTTACTTCAATTATTGACAGCTGGATCAGAGCAATAAATGAAGAAAAACTTATAGGGACTATATTTCTGGACCTAACAAAAGCATTTGATTTGATCAATCATAACCTATTATTGAAAAAACTACAAATGTATAACATACATGGAAATTCAAATTTCATGGTTTAGGTCATACCTAAGTGATCGCACACAACAAGTATGCGTGTCTGGAAAATATTCTGAAGCTCAGGATATAAAATCTGGTGTGCCTCAAGGTTCAGTTTTAGGTCCTCTCCTTTTCATTATCTACATTAATGACTTACCTTTGCATTTATCACATTCTACATCAGACATGTTTGCTGATGACACTACAATTACCTCATTTGGACACAGTATCAGTTCAATTTGTACAAAACTTCAGTCTGACCTAAATTCCATACAAAAGTGGTGCAACAGGAATTCAATGATTCCAAATGCTAATAAAACTAAAGCTATGTTTATTTCACCTTCAAATAATATCTATAATTCTATCAGTAATACTAGTGATTTCCAGATCACTCTTCAAGATGAAAGCTTACAATTTTCAGAAACAGAAAAACTTTTAGGTGTCCATGTTGATCATACACTGAACTGGAAAACACAAGTCAAAATGACACTGAATAAATGCAATTCATTACTATACCTTCTTTTGAGAATAAAACAATTTCTAAATGTTCATGTAAGGAAAATTTTCTTTAATGCATACATTCTTCCCCACTTAGACTATTGTTGCACTATTTGGGGAAATTGCAGTAAAGAACTCTTAAATGACCTGTATAAATTTCAAAAACGGGCAGCACGAATAATATTGGACAAAGATTTTGATGCACCCACTGATGATTTATTTTCTGAATTAAATTGGATGAAATTTTCTGAAAGAGTAAATTATAAAAAAGCTATTTTAGTGTACAAGTCCCTTAACAATCTTCTCCCTGATTATATGCAAAATCTTTTTACTTACACTGAAAATACACATTTAAGATCATATCAACAAAACAACTTCAAATCCCAAAACCTAGACTTGAGTTCTGCAGAAAATCTTTATCATACTCAGGGTCAAAAACTTTGGAATTCTCTTCCCTTAGATATCAGAAACTCCACAAATTTACAATCGTTCAAAAATAATTATCTTAAATGGTGGTTTTCTGGTGGGAATAAAACACATCAAGTTGTATTATAAAATGATAAATGTATATCTGAATTGCAATTATTATATTCTTATATAATGTTTTTTCCCTAGATTTTCATTTTACATGTTTCTTAACTATATTGTATTTGTAATTATGTTGTTGTTTATCATACCTTTTGTTTGTAAATGTTTATATTATGTACATTGTATATTTGATAGAGGCTCATAGGGAAGACTGGGCATGCCCAACTATGTTGCCTCTTTAAATAAAGTCTTTATTATTATTATTATTATTCATATAGACATAAAGATGAGCTTGACATCATAAAGTGACATCATCACATGGTGAAATAATTTTTTCACTTTCATGATTTTATTATTTCATTCATCAGAATGTTGCACTTACCTTATTAATGACAAGATAAAGATATGGTTTTACTCCCTAATTTTCTTTTTTTTATCTAACTTTAGGATCTGGAAGCATTTGGACGTCGTGTGAACACACTCAGTAAGGAGTTGGAGAATTCAGACATATATAACCGTGAGTGTGAGATAGGTGAAGCTTGGGACTCTATTGATAGCTTCTCTAAAAGACTGACAATACTGGAGAATGAGGCTCAAGATTTGATAGAATTACAGGAACTACTAGAGGCCTCAGTTGTTAACTTTAACGTCCTCCCAACGTAAGTATCGGGAAATGTGTCTTTATTTATAAATTCAACAAATTTCTTGTGATATAAACTTAAACGTCCTTCCAACTAATGGATTCAAAAAAGGTGTTTTTATTCATAAATTTAACAAATTTTTTGTGATATGATATTTCTGTATAACAAAAATGTACCATCTTTGTTTAATTTTATGTTTTGCTTTTACTGTCTTTTATTTTAATATCATATTTTTTGTATGTTCCTTTACAACTTACAATTTTCAAGATATGTATGGAGAAGAAAGTAGAGTCTTTTAGCTAGAGAATTTAGGTCTAAAGTTTTTGATATTTCTATTTCAGATGTCGTCATGAACTAAACAACTTGAAACAAGTCTGGGAAACAAAGAGGTATGATAGATTATTATGCTTTATCTAATTTTATGTTTTCTTATATAACAATGTCTCCAATTGTTTTGCTCAGAAAAATTGTTATATTCATTTCAGTTGTTGTTAAACATATTGTTTCTTACTGAAATACAGTCATTAATATGTACACGTTTAATTGGTGAAATGACATCAAAATTGGCCATAATTACTGACGTACAAGTTGAGCTCTGGATATTTTTCTGATTTTTCAAACTAGATTTGATTGAAATCATGACTTCCAGCACAGAAGTTTGCTATTTTTGAAAAGTCTCTGTGATGTAGCAGTATATAAATATCAAAGCCTTCTGAGCATGATATTAATGTCTATAAGAGTCTCAATTTAAATAACCAAAGTCGTATGCATTATGGTAATCTGACCTAACTAATATAAAATATTTCCCTGTTTATGATAGAGTAATAGATGAACAACAAGGAGAGTGGAAGAGGCACAGATGGCAGAAGATGAACACCAAGTTCCTACGTGATGAGACCAACAAGCAGCTGGAGATTGTACGAGCCTTGCCGGAGGATGTATTTACATGGGATATTTACATGGGCCTTCATGAATCCATCACAAATATTCAGGTATTTTTCTCATAATTTGTTCTAAGTTTTGTTATAAAGGTGGTGATGATGTAGAATTAAGTACAAATCAAATCTGTCTATATTGTAATTTGTGAGTGCATAGTTCGTAAAATACAAAGTGAAAGTTAAAATCTCTGACTTTTATTTAAGGGGCTGAGATTGATATTTTTGTGTTGTTTTTTTTTTCTTTATTTTTCCAAGGATTGAATAAAATTGTATCATTAATCTTTAATGGTATTGAATATCTGGCTTGAAACAGAAAAATTGTTTAAATGCCATTTGCAGGCTACTGATTTAAAGTAATAGTTAAGGATTGATGGATAAAATGTTATGATTTTAGGCTTGCCTGCCCTTGATTGATGACCTCAGTAATCCTGCAATGAGAACACGTCACTGGAAACAATTGGTTCGTGTAACAGGTGGCGCCATCTCTATTGATAATGACTCATTGAAGAGGATGACACTCGGTGATCTTCTTGGTCTTGGACTTCAACGTAAGTTATACAATGTTTGTTTTTCTCTGTTAGTTTATAATATCTTAAAAATATGCTATGATCATCCTTAAGTAAAATATTTTACCCTCAGAAATATATTGAAATCTATTAATTTTTTAGTGAATATGTCTAATTTGAATAAAAGAATGAATAAACTGTATGGAAGTTGCGTCCCTTATTAGAGGTCAAGAAAAGTTGGTCCTTTCTTAAAAAAACTGCCAGTTTATATATTCATATTGTGACCACCTATAGTGTGTAGAATTTGAAACATATCTACTTTGTGTAAAGTCAGATATGTTCATTTAATATTTACGCAATTATCAATATTTTCATATATCAGATTTGAGCATAGTATATCTTAAACAGTAATTAGACTTTTTTGCAATAATATTGTTTAAATTGTTTGTATTTGGCTTGACATTTTCATTAATTTACAAGATTAGATTTTAAGTATGTGATGGTGATAATGCATGTGGGTATCTTGATAATAAATTATCCGCCACAAAACAATTAAATCAATCTGATTTTGGAATAACTCAGGTTTCATGACATTGTACAAAATAGCCCAAATCATCTGTTGCTAATTGAATGACAGCTTCCTTAATATTTGGTATTTAAATTAAACGTTTAAATATTTTATATATTACAGAGCATGTTGATGATGTAAGAGCTATTGTACAGAGGGCTGTGAAGGATCTGTCTATAGAACAGTCCTTGAAGACGTACGAGGAAGTGTGGCTGAGTAAAATCTTCCAGTTCCTTGTACATATACGTAGCAAGAATGCAGAAATGACAGGCGATATGACAGTTCATGTAAGTTAAATACTGTATTATATTAAAATCTTACCTCTTAGGACATGCCCAAAACTTAGATTTTAGTACAATCTTTATCAAATCCTAGCTAATGTCATTTTTGCTCTACATTTGGGGTTATTCATATAAGATTTGTGACGTAAATGACTGTACTGGGAAAAGAATTTTTTTTTTACAATAAATGAATATTTTCATTCAGCATTAATAAAAAATAGTTTGGTAATAATGACTATAATAAAAGATATTTTGATATAATGACTATGTTAATGACAGGATAATCAGAGTGAGGTATCACAGAGTGAAGCAGGTGAGCAGGGACACAAGCCGGGTGTCAGTCGTAGTCAAGTGAGGACCACAAGCAGGGTATCAAACCAGAGCTCACACAGCAAGAACAAGCGTAGCAGTATAGCCTCCCTACCAGCTTCTCTACTAAACCTGGCTGATGTAAGTCATCATTTATATGATCGTGTTAACAATATTACTATATATTGCATTCAGTTGTGATGTCATTAATGTTTATTGACTTAATACATTGGTCAAAACAACAAATCAATAACATGGTATGTAGCCAATTCATATGGAAAATTAATTCCTCCAGTTTTGATAAAAGTACCTTTGAGTATTTATAGAAGGTATACAAAAAAGGATGGACTTTTGTTGTGTAAAACTCCCTGCAGATTTAATCAATTAATAATCATTCAACACATCAAAATAAAACTTTTGTTGTGTAATATTCTTTATGTGCATGTCAAGAAAGTGTGATTACATTTTTGATAAAAAAACAACAACAACAGAATATTAAGCATTTTGAAAGCTAAATTTTAATTTTAGACATTAAATTTCAATGAATTTCAGCCAAAACCATGATAGTAAATTTTGGTAAATATTATTTTTATGCTTGTGGTCTTGCCCATTACACATGTACTATTGTTTCATTTAATTTCTTGTATTTTGTTAGCACAGGTAAATCTGAATTTTAAGATCGGAATTGCTTTTTATTTAATGTTCATATAAACAATTTTATCATGTTTGAATACTTTTAGCTCTTCCTAAAAATCATTGTAAAGGAAAAATAATCAGATAATTTTATGATTTAGCAAGAAATGAGATTGATATTGTTCAGTTCACAGGAATTCATTTTATTTTTCTATTATTGCTTTTGAGTGTGTGTATATAATGTTTGTATATTTTTATAAACATTTTTAAAACAAATATCAACATATTTAAATACAAATATACAATTAAGATTGTAATTGACTGACAGTTTAAAGTACCTGCAAGCAGATGTGAAAAAAACAAAACTTTTTCAATTGGAATTTCCTTGTGGAAAACATAGGTTACAAGATTGTAAATGTAAGTGGGTGCTCCTCTGGGCTTAAACAAGTTCTTCTGTGAGTATCTCCTTAATTTTTCAAGGAATATTAACCCAGCATTCACAGAAATAATTAATCATCAAGTGCTCTGATGCATAATATTGGAATTTTGTGATTAGAAAAGAGGGCCTTTGCTTTTTACCACATACACAATATTGGCAGAAAACCTGGTTGAATTTAACTTCCTGTCAAATGTTAAAGAATAAAATAGATAAATTACCAAATAGTTTATAAAAAATTATTGTAATTGAATAGATACGTGGAATAAATTTGGTAAGTGAAGAAACCATAACCTAAACTTTCACTTTGATTTATTTATTATTTTGTTTACATGAGATATACACTTTTATATAATATTGTAAAATATCACATTATTTTGTTTTTTCTTCTCACTATACATGTAACTTTGGAAATTGTGTGGAAATAAATAATGATTGAATTTTCAGGAAAGTTCATTCTGTTGATTTCCAATCTTCCCATTGAGGCATATAAACATAATAACTTATATATTAAAAAAAGTAGTTTCCTAGTACTTATATTTTATACAAGATCTAATATATAATAAAAGATTTAATACAATAACTTTTTTTATATTAATCGTAAATCTTCTTTCTTAATGTATATCATTCATCTGGCTAACATATAGCAATTAAAGCATTTTAAAATTTTTGTAATGAATATTTTTTTTGTAAACCAATTCTTCTATACATTTCAAGAGCATCATATAATTTCAAGTGTCAGAGTATTCCTTCATGTTATATTATGTAAAACACAGATTATCCTAATGTTGTTTTTTCTTTGAAACTATTTATTTTCCAGAAGTATTTGCAAAAGAGACATGTCCAAAAAATTTCCTTGAATCGTTTAAAATCCGCACTTTTGGAGTATGACATAATGATAAGTTTTTTCTTAAGAAATCAATATAATAGAGAAGAAATGGATAATTTTTCAAAATAATATGCCAATAATAATTTCTGTATTATCATTTACATTTCATAGGATACAGGGCACCATGTGCTTCTAGCTAACACTGATCCCATCTTTGAGGAGCTTGAAGGTCACCAGGTCACCTTGCAGGCGATGCAGAGTAACAGTGCTGCAGGCTCGTTCCTTGATGAGGTTGTCAAATGGCAGAAACGATTACAGACGATAGAAGCTGTACTATCAACATGGCTAGAGGTGCAGGAAAAATGGGTGGAGCTAGAAGAGGTATATTAAGTAACAATATGGAAGCCATCTTGAATCTGTTAAATTTTCTATTAAAGGACTGTATATCACTTGCCCCTCTACTTGGAGGGTGGAATTTTTTCAAGGATAGATGCTATAAGGCTTGTTTTAATTACTGATCTGTGATTACACCAATTGTCATCAAATACTTAATACAGTTTATGTGTCCCTTAACTCCAGCAGGTAAGGTAGTTTTGACCCCTGGTGTTGCATTGAAGTTTGTAACATCCGGGATAAGCCAAAATCATCATTCCTAATTTGGCGCCCTATGACCTACACTGTGTTGGTACGCTGTAAAACCAAACAAACTAATATAGGCTGAAACCTAGGGTTTCCTTCAGTGTAAGCTGGAAAGTCACCATCTGGCACATAGGGAGCCAGTGTAACTTGAAAACACCAACAAAATTATAATATATGTAAAAGTGAAGAAATAGAACAATATAATGTTATATTTAAAAGGTTTATATCTTATAGTTTTACATTTTATTCTATTTTATCACAGGTGTATTCCAGTGCTGATGTAAGGACAGCATTGCCACATGATGCTAACAGATTTGCTATTGCTAACAGAGATTTCAGACTTCTGATGAGAGCAACAGAGAAAAATCCTAATGTGCTGCAATGTTGCTCTAGAAAAAGTAATTTATCTATTATATTACACCAATTCTTGTTGTACTTATTTATTCAACTTGATCTACTTTTGATTTTTATGTCTTTTTCTTTTTGCGTTCAAAAAGTTTTTTTGACAAATCTTGCAATTGTCTGATATGCACTTCTCAAATATAATTTTTGTATTTATACAGACTGTCACTACATATAATTATATTTTAATGAAAAATTGAAAATTTTCAATCGCTGTCTGGAACAAACAATGTTATACAAATGAAGAAATCCATAAAAACCACAATTTAAGTTTGACATTTATGATTCATGTGTTTCTTGTCAATAAGTTAAAAATGTTATGAATTTCATGGTTTATGATTTACAGTGAGTGATACAGATTTTATTTTACTAACTGAACCATTATTTCATTTAAAGTTAATTTAAAGTATATAGCAGTAATTGTTTTATTATTAAAGATATTCTCACAATATTGGAGCACATGAACCACAGTCTGGAACATTGTAGAAAATCGCTGTTGAATCATCTTGAGAGACGACGACAAATCTTCCCACGATTCTACTTCCTGTCCATGGAGGATGTTCTACACATCGTCTGCAATGGTAACTTATTTTTATATTCTTTCAATCTGATATCTGATTGATGCCAATTTATTTAAATAGATTTAATATCAAATAAACATATTTCTCTTTCTTCTTTGATACTGTATTGTAAGCAAATGTAGAATTTATTTATAGAACAAATGTCCATTTTCTTAGGAGTGTTAGCAATACATGTCCTTTGTGCAGGGGTGGCAAAATAAATTGTCCGTATTGCCCAGGTTGTCCCAAAGCTTATACGGACAAGTGAAATTTGACCAGAATTTACTATATAATTATCATATTGATAAGTACAAAATATCTCTAGGCAAAAACGGACAAGAAAATCAAAATTTTATTTTGCCGCCCCTGTTGTGCAGTATTTCACAAATATTGTAGCTTCTTAGACTTAAGATGATATTCTCATTTCTTTTTAGGGTATGACTTAAGTCAAGTGAATCTGTACATCAGTAAATTATTTGAGAACATCGGGAGTTTGGTGTACGAGGAGGCAGACGAAAGTGACAAATATAACTTCATGATTACTGGAGTTCAGAGTTCCCTCGGAGAAAAACTCCTATTTCAACAAGTAAGTTTATGTAAATTTTCAATAGATTTACTGGATATACAAACCTATTCTTTGCACAATCACATGTTTTAAAGTTTATATAAATGTACATGTAACTAGAAGAAATTAAGAAAGAAAGGTCATACTTAAAATGAAATTGAATATGTAAAAGTTAATATACATTAAATTATTAGGCTTTATAAGAAAGAATTAAGTTGGTCTGAAAATTTTATGCAAGAATATTTATTCATTACTAACTGCTTGATTTTTTATTTAAAATATATGGAATATGTTCTGTATTTTACAGCCAGTGACATGTGAAGGGCAGATTGAGACTTGGCTTAGTAGTTTTCTACAAGGGGTCAAGGGTGCCCTACAATTTCAGCTAGCCACTGCTCTAGGTGTTGAGAAAGCACCTGCAAAAACACGCCAAATTAGAAGTGCTGGATCTAGAAGGGTCACTGTTCAGGCTCAAGAGTCTAAATCTGCCACAAAAAATGCTAAAGGTAAGGCAACAGTGTATCAAAGTGATAGCATCAGTACTGCCTCAATTACTTTAGTTTGATAAGATTTTTATATATTTGTAAGTTCCTTAAATTTAGAAATGAATGCTTTGATGAATGGGTGTTTGAACAGTTATGTTCCTAATTGCTAGGAATCCTTATTTTTACTAAACTTGATTTAGTGTTGACCAAGATGTAGTCCAAAAAAGTACAAATATTGTAAAATAATAATTTTCTTTTTACCCCGTGACTGATGATTCATAGATTAGAATAACTGCCATAGTATATATATTAGGGATGGCAACGAATACCAAAATCAATACTCGAGTACTCGGTCATTTTTCCGATCGAGTACTCGGTTACTCGGATGATTTCTGATGATCTTTAAAGTTTTATCACACAATATCAACACGGTCTGCATGCTACTTTCGTTTTCTTTTTTAAATCATAGAATTCGTAACTATAAATAGGACTGCAAGAAATACATGTAATAGTTATAGTACATGAAACGAGTTAGTTACGAGGATATAACACTGGCTAGGGCGACATCAAGGGGTGTTTCTGCTAAAAAAAAATGGCGAGGCCGTTATTTTCTCACTAAAATACAGGATGACCTTGAAGGGCAAATACGCTTCAACGGATAGAAAATTCCATGTATGGAAGTACCGTATATGGAAGTGCCAGATACCATATATGGAAGTGCCGGACTATTTTTGACGTTGGTTCCGATCTTAGCTGTGTATAAACGTAGCATTTGGAAACGGAAACCAAAATTATAAAAGGCATGGCCGGTTTTGCAAAAATTACCTTTTCATCCGTCAGTCATAAGTTTATCTCTTGACAGCTACATTTCATTTTCTGAAATTTCTTATAGAAGTGTAATATAATAAAAAATCATTTATAATTCAAACGAAAATAGTCCGGCACTTCCATATATGGTATGTGGCACTTCCATATACGGTACTTCCATACATGGAATTTTCCATATAATCAATGGAAAATTATGTTTTAGAAGCTTTCTGAGCCTATGCAATTTTCTACTCGCAATGTTGGAAAATTGATATTTCACTCGACCTTCGGTGACATATCAATTTTTCCACCGCTGCTCGTAGCACAACATAATATTATGTTTTTATAATTAACAAGTTTCAGCTACAAACTGTCTAATATTTAAAGTTAAATTTACGATATCATTTTCACACCTCTGCAAGGATGTTTTGATTGCATTTACAGACACGTGTACATTTCGAATTTCTGAACTAATTGGATACACCAATCTTTCTAAATCGCAAAAAAGTAGAAATTAAATATTTTTTCCGAGTAATCGAATATCAATTTTGTTAACCGATATTCAGACGTTCGATCGAGTACTCGATTAACCGGTTACTCGTTGCCATCCCTAATATATATATCAATGGTGTAAATAAAAAACTTATGATGTCTTATGAGTTTTATGAAAAAAGGATTTAATATTTAAGGTATTATTCACGTTACAAAATGAAATATTTTTCCTTGTAGCGGAGAAAGCAGGAAGTCGGACAAGCAGTCGAGCTGGAGGAAGCATAGATGGTAAGGAAAAACAGAAAGTTCCGAGCCGTCCACCCTCCGTCACTGAACAGATATTTGAGGATGGCGTGGATGACCCGAAGAGTTCATGGACATTAGATCATGTGACTGAGATAGTGTATCTGGCCACACAGGTACAGATGACAGAACAAATCGAGGCAGCTTTAATGCAGATGGAAGAAGGCAAAGATGATGCTTTAAAGGTATGTTTCTTGTATTTATAGAGCCAATTGTTTGCTTATGTTTTTCAAGATTTTAAATGCCCTTTGATTAAAATCAAGGGAGACACAATTGAATTACAACTTTTCTCTCAGTAACAGATTTTGATATATCTTAAAATTACAAATGAAGTTTTCATTTTAGTTCAATTTACAACAGATATGCTCCAAAAGTGAGATAAAGAATATATCTCACTACTGTATATTGTGTTTAATGTTCACTAATATTAAGTTAGGGATATTACAGTTCATGTTTAATAAAATCAAATATATCATCCTTAAGGTATGGGGTAATATACAGGACATGTCATAAGTTTAAATAATCCTCAATGTATGGTGTACTATACAGGACATGCTGCAGAAGATCAATGAGAGTATTGTAGCAACAACAATCTTACTAAAAGGTATTGAAGGTGAAAAGGAGAAAAAACATAAACACAAAGGTCAGTTGTACATTTGTGATATTGATAGAACTACTATAAATTTCTTAATATAATGCTCATTCACAATTAGCACTTAATTAACTTCACCAAAAATTTGGAGTTTTTGGCAATATTTGGAATTTCATGCTTATAACTTACGGAATTTTGCATTCTTTTTCATGTCCTATTTTATACTTCTATTACAAAAAGTTAAAACTTCATTGTTTGTTCATTATCTTATGAACAGCAAAGCAGGAAAAAATGTACAAAATGAAAAGTTATGATTTTATGATGATTTCTTGTAGAATTACAAGTTAAGTATTTTGTAAATTAGACAAATCTTAAATCAAACAAATAAAGCCTTTGAAGGTGAGAGGTTTAGATCACTGACATCATTAGCTTTTCACATAATTATACAAATATGTTCAAATCCTACTTTATTTATGAATCCCTCCATGTCAGGAAGTTATAAAGATTGCTTGCAGAAGGTCGGTTTGGGGCTACAAGCAATGTTCATAACTTCCTGACATGGAGGAATTCAAAATTAAATTAGGATGTAGTTATCCTACATCAGTAAAGCATACAAGAAATCATATGACCATAACAGTGTTGGTAAGACATTAAAGTCATCTTAACAACCTTTATTAAGATGTAGAAAATTAACAAATCTTTTAAACCTAAGGAAAAACAATTCCTTTTTCATCTGAATAAGGCCAAAATTATGTTTCTTGAAATAGGTCACAAAGAAGGAGACACAGATTTTCTAGATGATACAAACTCTCTGGCTGGAGGTACAGGTGTGAGAAGTAGTAATGCCCCATCACTCGGTGCATCAAGGAAAGGTTCAATGTTTGATATAGCTGGATTAGATACAACCCATTCACCTATACCTGAAGAGGGGGATGAACAATGTAAGAATAGCTGATTGCTATTAATAATCAATTTTTTCTTGATAATTTATTATGTAATACACTTATAGAAGTTGAAACTAATTTATTTAAGCAAAATTTAATAGTGTGTCATGTGGAAAAAATGGTCTTCAATGTCTTCAATGTGAGTGACAGCATGGCCGAGTGGTTAACACGCGTGACTTGTAATGTAAGGATTGGCTGGCCACGTTGATTGGAACAAAGTTAGGGGCAAGCCATTGTTTCCTTGAGCAAGAAACTTTACATTCATTGCCAGGAATGGAATAGATATTTGTTTTAATAAGCTTATAGCTTCCAATACAGTCAAACTAAAATAAATACTTACACTAGTTTCACATATGATCATTGATACATTTTACCAATGAGTGAAAATAGTGATAATGATGTTGATAAAGTGAAGCTGAAGTTATTTCCTTTTGTTAAATTGAAGGTCCAATTATACATAGTCTCCCTGTTTCTTTAGTTTTGACCCTTTGTTTTGACATCAAAAGTATCATTAAGATGAGCAGTGGCTAGTAATAGTGTTTATGGGGTTCAAAATCTGCAAAAAGGGTGATCCTTCAGAAGCATTAAAAACAACAAATTACATGAAAACTGCTGACTTGGTTTGGTTTAGGCGGTACATGAGGGATAATGAAAAAGTGCAACATCCCTCACACCCCCTAGCATTGATAGCCTCATTTATGTTATGACCATGTTTCCTTAATATGACAATAATGCTGTTTTTTTTCAAGGAGCCAGGTTTGAATGTAGTTCAATTAAGCTTCAAGTATCCATGTATCAATATTGAGTAACATATATATTATTTAATCTTAAACATCATTGAAGTTAATAATTGAGCCGCATCATGACAAAACCAACATAATGGGTTTGCGACCAGCATGGATCCAGACCAACCTGCGCATCGGCGCTTTATGATCAGGATCCATGCTGTTCGCTATCAGTTTCTCTACTTGTTATAGGGTTTGTAAGCAAATAGCATGGATCCTAATCAGACTGCGTGGATGCACAGGCTGGTCTTGATCCATGCTGGTCGCAAACCCATTATGTTGGTTTTGTCATGACGCGGCTCATTTTTATATTTTATAAATTGATTGGTGCAGCACTGGTTGAGCCTACAACAATGGAGCCTGTGGATACTATGAATCTAGCAGCTATGTCACTTCCACCGATGAAGAAAGAGGAGGAAAAAGAGGAGGTTGAAGAGAAAGTAGAACCAACAGAAGTAAAACTGATGTTGTTCCCAAGTCAGATACATAAACTAAGCTGTCTGTTATCACTGCTAGCTCACCTGAGGGACCTGGTGGAAGGTTTGTTGGTGATGGAGTCACCCTCACCTATACAGTCTCTAGACTGGAAGTCACAGCTTCAGTATAGATTTGCAAAGGAGAACAGGGGTGTCAGTGTGAAGGTAAGTACTAACAGAAAAATCTTTAAAAGTATTTTTTAAGGCTGAAGGTTTAATTGTTTACAGCCTTAAGTTTCATCATATCTTTATGTTTATAAACAAACTTTGATCTCAGTTATCATTCAAAATATACATTTATTAATATTTGCATTTACATAGCTTACATCATACATGTATCAATTAATTCAAAAATGTAGAAAAAATAGTTATGGTTATACCTTGGTTACTATTTTTGACATATTTTTGCATGTACAATGGGCTTATTGTAACAAAACTTAACATACCATTAATATTAGAATCTGTATAAGAATTCATTAAATTAAAGTTAGTGTCCTTTTTCTAAAAGGCAAAGTTAAAAAAATGGAAATGATTTACCAGGGAATAAAGAAATTAATTAAATTATTAAGTGTTTTTGATTGTTTTAATATATACAGTGTCTAGATGTAGAGATGGAGTATGGATTTGAGTATATAGGTTCTAGCACACGTGAAGTGATCACACCACAGACAGAGAGGTGCTTCGTTGCCATGACACAATCTATAAATGCTTACATGGGAACATTGTGTGTGGGACCAATCGTAAGTTCTTAATTTTTATGGTAAAAAAGGGAAATACTATGCCCCCAGTACACAGTGTCTGTCCGTAAAATGACAAAACGATGGTAGATACATAAATGAAATTAAAGTTAAATTGGAAGCTACAAATATTTTATAAAGATAAAATAAAGAATGAAGCAAATAAAGAGAAACTCTGAATATTGATTCAAATGCACCATTTTTTTAAGAAGATTGTATAACGCTTATATTCTTACACAAAACATTTTTTTTTTTAAATTTTTTATTGATTTTATTTTTATTTTGTAACAGGATAGTGGAAAGTATGAATTGGTACATGAATTAAGCCACAGCTTTGGTCACGCTATGTACAAGTTCAACTGTACCAAGAGTGTTGACTACTGCGGCCTACAAGACATATTCCGCGGAATGGCTTCTACAGGCTGCTGGATTACTTTTAATAACTTAAACTCTTTATTACCATCAGTGCTTAGTGTGTTTGCTCAGTTGATCTCAACTGTGTTCGAAGCTCTGAGAGCCGGAAAAGCCGCGGTGCATTTACAATCAGACGATATTCAGCTGAATCCTACAGGAGCTTGTTTTGCTCTTGTAGACAGCTGTGTGCCGGTGACGGCAACAAATCCGGACAAATTACTTATATTCCCGTCAGTGACGGCAAAACTACCAGATTATGTGATGAGGCAATTTAGAACGGTGTCGGTACCGAGACCAGATCTCAGACAATGTCTCGAAGTGATGTTGTTTAGTCAAGGTAAGAATTATACAGTAGTGAAAAATACAGATACGTCTTTGTTTTTACAACTGAATAGTAAAAAATAAGTAGTCAGCTGCAATTTCTTAATATTCCCTTTCAATATACTAATGTTTCAGCTGAACAGCCTTCTTCAGGGTACATAAATAATTAATAAACAATAAACAGAATTTTATTTCAGCAGCACATGCCTTCAACAGAGATGACGTCAAAACCTTAGTTAAAGAGTTTGACATTTTGAATTTCTTAAAAAAAAAAAAAAAAAAAAATGCTAAGAATTTTTTTTAATGTTAACTTGTAGGATTTATCAATGGATCCATGCTGTCGGAGAAGACTATGACATTAAAGGAGCTCTCGTGTAAACTGCTGGGAACCAATACCTTTATCACAGAGAATATTTCTCTAGGTAAATAATCTTTGAATAATCTCTAATCTAAAAATATTAGAATAATCTCGTAATATTGTAAAGTAAATGTGAATTTTAGAATTATTGTTGATTTTTTTATTACCATTACTTACTTTAGTTTTAGATAATCTCTAAAAAATATTGTGAATAGAAATTGATAAGTAGAGATTTTAGTTGGATATTAATCTCTAATCTTGAAATTTTTGAAATTATTTAGTTCTTGGTTTAGATATTAATAGAATATAAGAGAGTAACAAGTAGTTTTATTTTAAATTTTTAATGTTGAATGTATTTCTAATCCTAGAAAATATTAATAGTTTATAGAATAAAAGAGACTCATGTAGAATTAAGCCATTGTTTGTGTAGCTTAAGTAATTGGAAAATTTTAATTTCATAAAATTGATGTGTGCTTCAGAATTTCTTTCTTCAAAAGTTTGAAGTCTCGATAACTTCTGCTTTAAAACATATTGTTTACAAAAGATATACTTTTATGACTTGGCTGCATTAAACATTGCGCTCTTGTATGAAGACAGCTTTTAAAATCCCAGGCTGAATGATAATTTCATTTGCTTTATTCAAAGACTATAAAAAATATAAAAAATACATAAAGATTATGAAATTCTGTCCAAGATTCTAATTCCCAATGTTACCAAAAAAAAAAAGTTGAACATCTCTTTTAGTAATTCCCCCTTTATGAGGGTTGTCCCAATAAGTAAATGGGAGCGACAATGTTTTAAACACAAAATTATCAATGTGTTTTTTGTAAAAAAAATTACCGATATTTGAAATGTGATTGCAAATGTCAGCATATGTTCTATAATAAGCTGAATAAGTAAAAAATGAGAAACACATTTGAAATGTTTAAAACATGTTTGAATTTATATCTAAATGTAGGATAGGACAAATAGATCTAAACCAACACAATTTTAAATATCAATACATGTTTCGCTTTATTAGCTTCATCAGTTGATACATAAAGGAAATGATGTAAACATACCAAGAAAATGTATCTAAATGTACAAATTCAATTCATTCCTTTCTTAATAATTTTGCAATAAGTGGTCTTTAACTCTTCCAAAGACAATGATATATAAATTTACACACACCTTTTGATTTATTTTGATGGTAGATATATTTCAATGTTTTTGATTTTCATTAAAACAGACAATATTTGGATGGGTAATTGTGTTTCTGTATAATTAATGTTTATTGGATTCATACATTATTCTTAGATTGATGACAAAAATTGCAGTGCTTAAATGTATAATAAAAAGTAGTTTTTGTTAGATTTTGAAAACAAAATTTGGGGCTTTATGGTCCGAAAGGAAGCAATGCTGATGGCTACATGGGGGGGGGGGGGGGGGGTTATACTTATTTTGGTGTAAGTGTATGAATCCATGTGCTTATAATATCCCAGTATTTTGCTTAAGTTGTGGTCAAGACAGGTAGATGTCTTGTTGTCTGTTCTGACCACATAATGTTGGTGATGTTTGTCTAATGTGTCTTCCTAACCTTTCCAAACCTTACCCTTATTTTTCTTACAGCAACTTTAAAATGTTTTCAATGTAATATGCAAGCATGTGTGCCAATACCATGTGACTTTTTAACATCTGTTTAATATGCATGTTTATGCATGTAAATTTAACAGGTAGTCAACATATATTAGTTTTTTATTGCTTGAATAATGATTTATAAATTTCATTAGAATAATAATGGATGCAATGTTTTTTTTTATTATTTTTATTTAAAAAAAAACAACAAATTTTAAAGCTGAAAGTAGGTACAGCATCAGAAATGAAATAGTTTGGTGAATATTAAGTTTTGTGAACATAATTAGTTTTAAATGGGTTACAGCAGAAAATTCAGCTTAACCAGCTTAAGCCTACAATGTTCATCAGTCAATAAAAATCTATCTATATTTTGCATGTAAAATTCCTGTGGTATTTGCACACTGCTCCAAGAGTTGTTATTCAAGACATTAAAAAGCCAGACTTGGTTACTTTAGGGGCTTACATTTTACTTTACAGGATATTTTTCAATCCAAATTTAGAAAAGACAATGAGATTTTGATTACACCTTGTTGAGATATGTGATGTCATTTATTTTTAAAAAGCATTCAATATTTAGAAAATTGAGAAACTATCACAACTTTTGAAGAGTTATGAAAATAAAGATTTACACTAACTTTCAACATTGGGCATAGATGGAGAAGATGTTTTAATTTATTTTAGATTATTGTCCACCATTATTTTATTTCTTATAAGATTTTAGCTTGTGTAAACTTATAAGATTTTGTAAATCTTGGTTATATATCTTTGAATAAAATAAACATGATTTTACAAGGTTTACTATAGCCAAAAACTGTGGTATATCTCATATGTATAGTGACTATTTTATGCCTTATACAGTTTTTTCTGGTATTCGGAGAAATGTTTAAAAGATGACAAACTGCCTTCTGCTGTGTTTTCACCTAAGCGCCTCATCAGTATAAAAATGCAAATGCAAGGACTGAAAACATTTCTGGAATAAACTCAATATTTATCCTTTTGTTCATTATTTTGATAAGGTTAAAGGTCAAAAAGATGGAAATGTAACAAGTCATGACTGTGTGATTTCTGGTTTTCATCTTTTTGCATTTTAGCCCCAGCATAGCCCTAACACAAAAGAACTGTACATGGCATAAGTTAGCTATAATGGATGATTATTAAAATTTTTAAAGGAGATAAAATTCTTTCTCATTCAAGAATACTATATGTAGATAACACTGTGCAAAGACTTGTTGTTACAAAAGTCACCCTTCCAGAAATAGCATATATACTATGTTTTGAATAACAAAGTGTTTATTCTGACTTAATTAATGCTTTATATGTTTGTATGTCTGGTTCACATAGGAAAATGTTATATTATTGTCATCACAATTTTTTCACCTTTCACCTAGTTGATTAATCACATTTTTATGTTTCATAATAAATGATGTAGTTGATTGCCAACATAAATTTGTGTTAGGTACTGGTTTTAATTTTTGAACTGCCCAGTATAAATTAATGGGTTTTAAAATGTCAAAAAAAAAATCATCAGTAAATTGCCTGGACAGAGTGCATAAATGTGTGTTCTTAAAAGGATTGATATTTGCTCCTGTAAAAAATCATAGTCTATGTAGTTATTGGAACCACTTGCCCCTCATTGCTGGGGGTTTGAACCTTGCCAGGGACTTTAAATTCTTTCATGTGAAGGAGCTATCCAGCTAGCTTACAGAACGTCCTTGGTTCTACTCAGGTGGCCATGTATGCCTGACATATTTTACGGAGAGGCACTTGGGGTCTTCCTCCACCTGTAAAGCTGGAAAGTCGCCATATGACCTTGACTGTGTTGATGTGACATTAAACCCAACCCCCCCAAAATGTAGTTATTGGTTCTACTGAGTTCCAAAATAAATTCTTTAATCCTTAACCTGCTGAATTTATGAAATTCAATTTTCTAGGTTTGAATGTAAAGTGTGAGGGTTTTTGTTATTGAAATACTAAAATTGAGCTACAAACAGTATAAAGCCTGGTCAATCTGCATGGGTGTGCAGACATGCTTGGCTCTATACTGGTGGCAAAGGCTAATTATTGCGCTACCAGCAGGTTATTGGTTTAGGGGTGCAGCTAGAATCTGCCTTTAAGTAATTTTGTTGGGTTTGAATAAAATTTCTGTAGATAGAAAATTGTAAACAGACATTGTGTTGCAGGGTAAATTATTTTTAGTTCATAGTTTACACATGTTAACCATGAAGCTTATGGGAATTATGGAGCAAGGAACTTCCTGTCTTGTGCATGCTGTTTGGGAATCAAGCATACTATACTCTAGATCTGCTCATAAATTGTTGCTTTTAACATAATTTTATAGCATGAATTTCAGTTTTGAAAAATAAAAAAAACGTCATTTTTATGCTAGATTTCAGCCTCTTATTTATAGCTTTTAACCTTTTTTATTGGGTTGATACTATAAGTGGGTATTGCCATTCCATTGCATGATGGTTTTTTCATATTTATTTCTATTAATAGATATTAACATTTCATCAAATGATAGATTTTTCATCAGGTGGTATTTCATCTGTTACAATTTCATTAAGTGATATTTTTATACTTTTCTTCTTACAGTTATTTAATAATAATTTGTTGTTACTAAATATAGGTATTGAAATTTCATTGGATGGTGTTTCATCTTTGTTACTATTTATAGGTGTTGACATCAGTGCTGGTTTCAATGGATGGAGCTTGAAAACATTGAAAGGTGTAGTTGCTGAAGCCGGGGCTCATCTTGAAACATTTACTGCAGAGCTCAGTGAAACAGGTAAAGAGCATACATGCTTGTTTCTTTTGACAAACTGGTGATGTTGCACAGTGTGTAAACACATAGGGGCATTTATGCATGATACATAAACAAACAGACCAGGGCATCCCTTGGGTGGCATTGTTTTAGACAGAGTCATGATTATATGTGTTTGTGTCTGTTTCTATGATTTATGATTGCTTTATTTTTATACCCATCCTTGACCATTACTCCTATTTAACTGTAAATCCTCAAAAAATAACAACCCTTGATCATAATAACAACCCTTGATCTATCTTCTCAATAAAAAGTTAACTTTTCAAAAGTTGTAATAATCTTTTAATTATAGTATCTTCATTACAAACTATATAAAATGTATATTTGATAAGTTTTATTTACTCATCCATGGTTCAACTAAGTTTAGTGTATCCTTATTCTTTAACAAACATATCCATGATTAAATTCTAGTTTCTTAACTAATTTCAAGAAGAAATGCATGTATTGAACCTAAAATTCTTGTCCTACCCCTCCACCTTACAACCAAAAATTCATAAATTTTATTCATTATTTTGTTATGACTTAACATTCTGTTGCACCTTAATGATGCAATATTGGCCATTTTCATCAACAGTGTAAGTGTTAAAATTTTAGACTTAAAACCAAGCTTGATTTATAGTGTTTGGTTTTGATTATTTTTGTTTTAAATACACATCATGTTTAGTGTGCTCTGAGTCTTTGTTGACAGATTAGATTGTAAAGAAGGCATTCAAATTTTTTGGAAACGCATCTATGTTCTTTTTTGGCGTCTGAACCAAATGGAACCATCCTTCAGGCATTATAAGATATAAATATATACTGAAAGAATTAGTCTGGTTGCCCAGAAAAGTCATCAAAGTGACACAAAAATCAATCTGGAATTAAACAAAAATGTCATAGGCAAATTTGCCTAAAGTAATTTTAGAATCTTAAAAGATAAGTCTAAAGTTTGCACATAAAATGTTGATGAATACTGGCCGCTACACTATTGGGTTATTTGCACTGTTAACTAACGTTCACCTTGTGTTGTGTGTTAGGGGAATCAGAGAGTGATATAGAAGAGGACGAGGAGGAAGATACAGGCTCACAGAAAGGTTTGTAACAATCACCATGTTCATTAACTTTAGTTTCCAAGTTGACAGCCTCTCAGATTCAGATTAACTTGGTAAGAGGACCTTTATACATCTATGATCAGCTGTTTAAATTCTGGATGCTGGATATATTTTGTGAAAAAATAAAATCTGCGAAAAGGGTGATCCCTTGGAAGCATAAATCACAACAAAATTAACATGGAAAATGTAGACCTGTGTTTGATTGAGCCTGTACCTGAGGGATAATGAAAAAGGGAAGCGCTCCTCATGCCCCCTAGCAACGACTTGAGAGAGGTACTCAATTTTCAATACTTGACATGTTGAAATCAATGATACCGAAGGACCTGAAAAATAAGTTTACAATGTTCTGCATTGGTATAAATGAGTTATTTGTACTAGTTAGACAATTATTGCAGAAAAATAGTCTAGGACTGGTAAGGAATCAAAGAATTCTTATAAGGTCATTGCCCATTGTAATATTTTGTTAAACTACTACCAATCACAATAACAAAAATCTGTATTTCTTATGAAATCTTTGTTAAGATTATCATTATCTACCATAGATACAGTCAAGCCTATGTTTAACCTGTTTGAGAATGTCTCATATCCATCAAAGATGTAATGACAGAATTGTTTGTTTACTTCCCCTTTAAGTTTTATTCCATGATTCAAGTAATATTTCAAAGGGGAGCCGTGGCCTAGTGGTTAAGGTGTCTGCCTCTCAAACCAGAGATCATGGGTTCAAGTCCTACTCGGGTCACGACCATGTTTCTTCATATGACACCAGTACTGGGCAGACTCGAAAGTGATGAACTTGTTTCGCAATCAAGCTAAAATGAATATGTTTAAACCAAGTAATATTTCACTAATGTTAAAGCTGTTTGGCTATCTTATTAAAAGATTGAAAGGTCATACAATGTATGTAGCCTTGCATGGGAGAGTATTAACGGCTTGCCTCTTTCAGTAAGAACTTGGCAGCCAATGAATATTGATAAAGAAGTTTCTGAAAATTAAAAAAAATATTTTCTTGTCATAAAGGTGCTGAAAATAGACTGAATAGGTCAGTCTTTGTGAGAGAATGCTTTAAATTGTGATAGTTGAAAATGCATTCAGATTTGTTTTTAATATTAAATTATGAACTAATTTCCATATTTGTTAAACTACCTTATAACTGTCAATGAAATAACACTTCTCCTCTAACATTTAAAAAAAGCCTTGCTATATGTTACGGACAATTTGTTGTCAGCAGTATATACATGTATTTAATGATCAGATTGTTTAGATGTACATGTTAGCCTTGTTATAAACTGCTGGCATATGACAGCTGCAACCTTTTGGGATTAACCATTTAATAAAAGTTTATTTTTCATTTAAATTTGTTTTCAGTTATATTATATACATATACATTAATTTTTCAGTAAGTTTACATAAACACTGTTTTTTTTTTACTGCCAGTAGTTAGTACAATGTATTAATAAAATTATGTTTGAAATTGCAACAATGTTGCCAAATCTTTACAGTGAGAACAAGTTCTATGTGAAATGTATCATAGCTCAAGATTTTATGGCCCTTATTGCATCACGTTGAATCTTACACTGTATGCCCTTAAAATGGATTAATTTTTGTTTCATACATAATTAAAGCCCTTAAAGTTTAAATAAAACTTATCTTGGTATGAACAGAAAGCTTGCTTTTGAAGTATAGTAGATTACAGAAATTTTGTTATTATTTCAGCTGAGAAAATGTTGGAAGGAGATAAGAGTTTGTTAATGGAGGAGAAAGCCATGGTCACAGCTCTCCGGGACTCGTTCCTTCCCCGCATGGTTGGTCGCGATGCCAGCGTGTTTGTTACCCTCGTCAGTGATGTGTGGCCGAATGTTGATATCCCGATGGTGTTTGGTGGAGACGAGGATATGATGGAAAAAATGCCGGAGAACCAGTCCCGCGGCAGCTCAAAGGGTTCAAGCAGAATCAGGACGGCAAAGAGCCAAAGTTCTACAAGATCTGTCAGAGGTAAAAAATATGAAAATTGTCTATTACCTATGTGCAAAGTTAGATTTTATTGACAAATGGAATGGGATTTAGAGGACACTGTTTATATTTGAGATTTTGTTTTTAGCAATCTCTTTTTTTCATGTTTAGCAATAGTTGCCTCTGTCGGAAAATTTTATTCTTCTTTAAAGAGAAAAAAACAAAAACAAAACACCAAAAAACATTGTAACTTTAACCACAAGTACAAAAACTTAGTACTAAATTTTAGAAAACTGTTAAAAAATAATAACTGTCCCTATTGACCCAGCTTATTGGAATTAGGAACAATGGAGTTTTTTATCTTTGGATAATCCTTGTGATTTGTTAATTTTTTTATTGATTCGTTTTATAGTTGCTTATAATATTATTTTCAACACCTTTTTTTACATGCACTTTATTACAATTTAGATGTTAAATATTGGTTTAAATCAATGGTCCTTTTTTATATATCTTTTATTCTCAGATAAGAAAAAAAATGGGTTATATGGCAAGTATTATATAATGAAAACCCCAGATATTTCGTCATTTTTTTATTATTTGCAACTGCTTAGATATAGAGTGCACTTTTTTTAGTTTGGTTAAAGTACATTACGAGTATATTATATACATTATACATAGTTGCTATGTTATGAGGACCTGCTTTGTGACTCACTGCATTTTAAATATTGACTGGCATTTTTGCCCGGTGGTATGTAGTAGTGAAGTGACTATAAATGTTGAAGAGCTTGATTTTCTCAATTTAGAGGCTGAAAGTACCGGTAAGAAAATAGTAACATCAAAACTAAACAAGATATTAATGCTCATTTTTCTTATTTTTTTTTCTTCTTTTTAATAGACTTACTCTGGAATTAAAAAAAAAAATATTTTGGGGTTTCCCAACAAACTTTTACAGTTACAGCTTCAAAAATAAACTCAACAGGTTTACTAATTTATTGTGTGAACTGAAACGAAATTTCGCCTGTCTTTTAATCTATTAGTTAAATGCATTTAGGTTTTGTCTACAAAATATTTTTTAAAAAAATTGACATTTTTTTTTTAAACAATATAAGAGACCAAAATCTGAGTGATAAGTTCTCTATTAAATAAAGTCTCTGCAACATTTATTTGTCAAACTTTGATATTTTAATGTCATCAGAATACAGACTTGAAAAGTCAGAAATTCAATTGTTTTGAAATTATAACAATGCTATGTTGCCATAGCTATTATGACATAAAAGTTTGCAATTCTAGATATAATATACATTGTCATAATTCATAACGCTATTCAGTAAACTCGATTTTAACAAGTTTCTTTTCTACCTGAGAAGTCTGACATTTTTATCAGAGGCAAATTTTTATTAATTCTTGATTATTTCTTGCTCATGATTATTCTTCAAAATCTTTATTATAATATCTGAATCATTTTCCTCCTACTATTGATATACTGGACATATCATTGGCTTATTTCTTCATGTTTTTGAAAGAAAACATTTTTAACCATTGTCATTTTACAGATTCTAAGCAGTTAATGATTAGGATAACCTATATAGAAATGTAATTCATTTGTAACGCTACATTATATACCATGCTTGAATGCAAGAAAAAAATGCTTTTAATTATTATTTATCAATGACTGCTTTATTCATAAAAATCACAAAACTGAATATTATTCACCCACCATATTTGGAAAGAAGTTTGCTTGATTAACAAATTTCATAGCAGTGTTTGATCATGTTCCTGTCAAATTGACTTTGACTCATAACTTAATCAATATGTAGAACTCATGTTAGCAAATTATTTAAGTTTTTTTAAATGCTTACATTATATTTAGGATATCATATAGATGTGAGAGGTAAAATGCGTTACTGTTTTGTAGATAAGCTGTTGATTTATAAAGGCAACTTGTTCATGATTAGAGTGATTTTTTTTCACTATGTATAGTTTGATTTGTTTGTCATACTGAAAATAATTATAGACATACCTTTCTTGCCCTTTTAGGGAAAGAAAAAACAATCCCATGCAGTGCCAAAAAGAACCTTTTCCAAAAATCTTAAGTTAAAAGTCCCAGTTTTGGAAGCATAATTTTGACATTGTTTTTCCAAGAGAAATGAAAGACAGACACTTTTATGCATTTTCTTTCTTTTACAAACATGACAGAAATGTATGCAAAGAAAATGGCATAAAATTTCTCTCTTCTTTAACCTAGTACAAAGCTTCCATTATTTTAAAATTCCCAATTTAGAACACATTTTTCCTAATTCCATTGGCATTCTTGGTATATATAGTTATGTTATTTTGTTAATAAAGTCACTTATTGCTTACACAGTACAATGGGCTACATATGACATTTCTTTGTGAGAGAGAAAAAATATCATCTCTTAAATATGAACAAGTTGCTTTAAAGTTATTTGTCTTAAAGGGGCAAGGTGTTCAAGATGTTCAATTTTGTATGATCTTTTATCTTTTGTTATTTGAAGTGAAAGTTTATGTGATTTACAAGAATGGGATAGTACTGAATTATAAAATAACTGTTATAGAAGGCCTTAAAATATGTGAACTTTGAAAATTAGCAATACTTTTTCACTTTAGGAGAATATTTTCATAGAAAGTTTCACATTTCAAGGGGTATTCCACAAATACTTGTACTTGTTTCAAAGTTACCTCTGAAAAAAGCTGCTTTCCAAGGGAAAGACTATTACAGTATCAAACAATATTGTTGGAAAATGAAAATTTCAGTTAATTCCCAATTTGCAGTCAAACTCGTTTTTGACCTTGTATGTTTTCTTCAAAAACAAAAAGAGGCCAATTACTTTGAATCATTGAGTGTTTTCTCATCACAACTGTTAACAAAGAATATAATACAACAGTTTTTCTTTTGCATTGTGCATGTAGCTAAATTCATTATTCTCAAATTACCAGTTTTGATGCATTTTCCTTAATAATACCAATGATGTAGTTAGTCCCAGAAATAATGAAAAAATGTTACAGGATATAACAGTTCTAGTGGTGTCACAAACCTTCAGTATGTTTTTAATGTCATTCAGACTATCATAAATATATAAGATGTATTTTTACTTTGCTAGATGGCTAGTCGTTGTAGGTTGCAGTATTTGCTAGATAGATGTCATTTTTACATGGTTTAAGCATGCTTAATGAGCTTTATAAGGAAAAAGTAGAAAATTATGAAGGATTTTAGTACAAAGTATGACCAGAAAACAGAGGAAATTAATAATTTTACAGAAATACTCACTTAATATTGTTAGTTTCACATATAGCTTTATTTGTTACTTGCAAAAAAGGCTATATGAAGATGAAAAGTAAAAAGTGTGAACAATAATAAATAACAATGGCTTTCTGTTTTAAAGTTGAAGAAATAAGGAAATTTTGATTATCAGTATGTCAGCAAAAAAAAAAACACAAGAATACATGATGGTATGATATGCTATAATATCACTTTTGCAGTGAGATTGTCAAAATATTACTTTACATCATCAATTTATGGCATGCCATTATACCATAAAGACAACATTTAAGTCTGCCATGCCATTATAACATTAAAATGAAAACACTTAAGCCTTACATGACATTATAACATCAAAAAACAACACTTAAGCCTGACATGCCATTATAACATCAAAATGAAAACACTAAAGCCTTACATGACATTATAACATCAAAAAACAACACTTAAGCCTGACATGCCATTATAACATCAAAATGAAAACACCAAAGCCTTACATGACATTATAACATCAAAAAACAACACTTAAGCCTGACATGCCATTATAACATCAAAATGAAAACACTAAAGCCTTACATGACATTATAACATCAAAAAACAACGCTTAAGCCTGACATGCCATTATAACATCAAAATGAAAACACTTAAGCCTTACATGACATTATAACATCAAAAAACAACACTTAAGCCTGACATGCCATTATAACATCAAAATGAAAACACTAAAGCCTTACATGACATTATAACATCAAAAAACAACACTTAAGCCTGACATGCCATTATTACATCAAAATGAAAACACTTAAGCCTGACATGCCATTGTAACATCAAAATTAAAAAAACACTAAAGCCTTACATGCCATTATAACATCAAAAAACAACACTAAAGCCTGACATGCCATTATAACATCTAAATGAAAACACTTAAGCCTGACATGCCATTGTAACATCGTAAAGACACAACTTAAGCTTTACATGCCATTATTACATTATCATGACATCAGCTTATGAAATGCAATAGTAACAACATCGGGAAATCATCTAAGTATTGCTAATAGAAAGTGTATTAAAATTAGTGTATAGAACAGAAATAAACAACAACAATTGCATTGTGTTTTATCACTGTATTGACATGATCATCAGAAAAAAGTTTTTAGTCCCCTACCGGTTTAACCGGAGGGGACTTTAGGTTTACCCTCCGTCCGTCTGTCCGTCTGTCTGTCTGTCCGTCTGTCTGTCTGTCTGTCTGTCAGTCTGTCAGTCCGTCAGTCCGTCCGTCCACAAAACTGCAGGGTTCGACACTAACGGGGTCCCGGGATTCCGAGGATCCCAAAAAGTCGGGAGGAATCCCTGTGATTCCTAGCTGGGGATTCCGTTGGGATCCCTGAAAAATTGCTGTGTAAACTTTTGAAATTTTCTGAATTAATGAATCACAAATATTCAAGAAAAGTGGTTCAAGAAAGAAAAGAAAAACCCCGCCGGTAAAATCTAGTCTACACTCTTGAATTATGTACGCTAGATTTTCTTTGAGCAGTGACTGCTATCAACTCATTTGCGATAAAAAAATGACAAAAATGTTTTGACTTAAGAAACATTCTTGTATAATTTTATATCATGCATTGACTTCATAAAATAGAGTTGTGAAAATTCAAAAAAGAAATGTAATTATCGTATAATTATTACACAAGCGATGTGTACTTCAAATTTGTGTTGATCGGCAATGCCGGCGGTAGCTACTGTACGTTTGTTGTTTGTTTTTTTATTGCCAAAATTCGGCACTTGTGACCATTGTAAATTTTCGTCAAAATTGTGAAAAAAAAGATAACTATTGTATTTTTTCTCCCTATAGTAGACTACAGCAAAAGTATAATTAATAAACAAAATAAAAAGAATCCATACTTTAAGTTTAAAATCCTTTTTGAAACTCACAGCCTTCAATGCTAAAAAAACATTGTCTAACTAAAGTCTAAGGTCAATCAAGGTCACGCATTATTTACCGACAAAAAATACAAAAATCCTTACGTGAAACATACAGCAAATGACGAAATATACAGCAAATGACGTATATTTCATCTGACAGTGCTTTGAGCCAATCAGTGTTGTGAGCTACATGACTGCTGTATGGGTGAGTGCCTTTGATGTGACAGGTGTCAAAACTTACAAAAAAATCAATACACAGGGAGGAAAGGGATCGGACATTTCAGTGTAAAAATTGAGAACAATAAATTTGGATATTGCACATCCTGTCATGGACTTGGAGCAACTTATCATTTTTAAAAATGAAATCATTTAAATGTACCGTACTTGTAATGCAAACAAAACTGTTTCTTGATATTTTTATTAGCTTAAGTAAAAAATTATCAAAATATTTAATTTACAACAATCTATGGGATTTTTCCTTTCTAACACAAAAATGTAAAATGAAATCAAATATTTTCTTAAAGTGATCATAATTAAGAATTTCCTTTAAAAATGACATGAAAGTAAATAATTATAGACAGTTATCCATACCAGACCTTTCTGGAATATGGAGCCTAATCATTACCTGTAACTTTTTAAAGATCTACATATGATAAGTGGGCTCTATTTCAGTGAACCCTTGGCTATCTGGGAAAATGTTTCCCCAGTTCCTATTTTACTTCAAAAATTCAAACCACCTTGTCAAGTCACTTGCATTATACCTTCATTTAGATACAGAAACTGGTTCACAATTAGAGAAAACAGGTTTTAGCAAGATAGCTATTTTCAAATCGAACTCTTGTTCAGTGAGCTTAATGTTATTCTGTTTCCATGTTCATGTAAAAATATATTATGTTTTAATTTATCTTAGCAGTCCAAATATATATATTTATATATATATACTAGTAAAGTTAACACTTTGAAACGCTTTTAAAACTTAAAATAGCCTTATTTCCAAAGGGCTCATAAACTACATTTTCTGCATCTGAAGCAAGACAATATATCCTGTATGTTGTCTCAAAAATGAAAAGAATTTGAAATCGAATTGCTGCACTCCCTTGTTATTCTTCGTCTCCATATTTTACTATTTTGATCTGAGGAATCCCTGACATTTAGGAGGAATCCCTGAATTAAATCTCAGGGATTCCTATGGGATCCCTGGTAAAAACAGTTAGTGTCGAACCCTGAACTGGATCCCGCGATAACGCAAAAAGTACTGAAAATATTTTTATGAAACTTGATATGTGGATAGATGGCAGTATGGAGATTATGCACGTCTTTTTTTTTTTCTTCCTATGTTGAAAATTCTGGTTGCTATGGCAACAAATAGTCTGAAAATATGGCAAATTTAACACATAAACTGGATCCAGTGATAACTCAAAAAGTACTGAAAATATTTTTATGAAACTTGAAATATGGGTAGATGGCAGTCTGGAGATTATGCACATCTTTTTCTTTTCTTCCTATGTTGAAAATTCTGGTTGCTATGGCAACAAATAGCCTGAATTTCAAGATTTCTGATTTAAATTTTTCAGCTTTTTCACTATATGTTCTTTATTTCTTAAGGTGTTTACTTCAAACTTTAAATATAAGTTTCTGGTCATCAACCACATCATATGTGACAAGGTTTATAACTCTAGCACAAAAAATATCAGTATTACCTCCCTTGAACTTAGATTTTTTAGGGGAAAAAATGTTGTCTTTTTTAAATAACTTCTTTATTTCCTAATGTATCTACTTCAAACTTCATATATATGTTTCTTATTATCACTCGACATTTTTGAGAAGGTTAAATACTCTAGCAAGACTATTTCCAGAATTATGTCCCCCTTGAACTTAGATTTTTTTCGAGAAACTGGTATTTTCACTCCAATTTCTTCATTCCTTATAGGATTTACTTTAAAATCCCACATTGTAATAATATGACATGGTTGTATAAACATAATTTCCTTACTAAGCATGGAAACTTAACACATTACTGTGATATAGACAAACTTATTTTATTATGTTTTGTGGTTGATATTTTCAAATACAGACTTCATCCTCAAATTCATTATAAATGGCAATACACAGGAGTGTATGACAATTAAAGAACTTTTTGAGGGACCGGTAGGGGACTACTGTATTGCCCGCAATACTATCAAATGCTTGTTTATTATGACATCATATTATGGCATGTCATTATGCATTCATGGTTACATTATCAAAGGCTTCTATTTGTTATGACATCAAAGTGTGACACCATCAAATTGTATGACATCGCATTGTCTCTGTAGTGTTACTCTGAATGTTATTAAATGGATTGTCATTGATTCATTTTATATTATTAACAGTGTCTTAATCAGAAATTAATTGAATAATATTTTTGTCACACTCAAGTGTATGACTTGTCAACTTGTCATAGTTTAATTGATGTTGATATTTAACCATTACTATTAACAATCTCATTATTAAATATTTCTTTGCATTTGAACTTTAAACCTTGGTATATCAGACAACTAACAATGTGAAATAATGTAACCACAATATTCTGAAGATATTTTTTCCCTGCTTAAATCACTCAAATTAATTTACTTCTTGAGGGAGCTGGACTAATGACAGAATATTATTAATATTTTTTGTTGAAATCGCTGGATATTTTTCAGCATTGTTATGAAGAGTATCATCAGAATCATATAAATTATTATGATTTGTAGTATATTATAGAATGATGGTATCATAATTTGGTAACAATTACAAAAAAGGTATTTAAATTCCCATTTACCCATCAACCATTTATGAAATAAAGATGTCAATTTCCCTGCTTTTTAGTTTTAATTTAAAAGTAAATTTTTTCCTTTTTTTTAGAATCAATCAACTTGAACACACCAGTGGTCAACATGACCCAGGGTGACAGATTTGCTTACATAGATCCTAACCAGAAACAGACATTGGAAGATATCCAGGATGCCATTGCCGTAGCAACAGGTGACCTTGGCCTACTTCCAGGTGTGGCATTCCAGGCTAGAGTTGCTCAACTGGCCCAGCTTAATGCTGCTCATCAGACAGTAAGTTTTTGACATGTTTAATTATTTTGATGTTCATTTTCATTTCTGGTCTTCATTGCAACCACTTTGGAATACACTTGTTTAAGGAAACCATATTCTTTTACATGCTGAATTGTTGCAATAGATATATCCACCTTCCATTTTGGGATTATGGTAATCTGTTAGTGATTTTAGTGATAATACAATGAAAAATTAAAAAAATTTCTATCTAGTAGTATAGTATATGGTATGATTGTATGGACATGCAGGCTGGCTCGGCTATATGCTTGTTGGAAAGGCTTTTCAGTAAATGTCTTGGCAATTTTAGTATATAAAGGATAATATAAGATGTAACATAGACTTTATTTTGCATAATTTTCATGTTGTTAAGTCAGAATATTACATATTGTAGAATTATAGGTCTTTAAGATAGATAGTAATATAAAATTGTGGGGATATGTTATATAAAATCATGAGGCTATGTGACTTTTAATTATATATCCTACTGGCATGATACTTAATTAATAAGTTGTATTAAGAATATATAATATATGTTTACTTTCATAGATGATTGGAGTAACAAAGTGAATGATTTGATCAACATTATGACAATTGTACTTAATTCATTGTAGATATTTGTAGTAGGACCAGCAGGGTGTGGTAAGAGTGAGTGTATTAAAACATTTGCTGTAGCAGAAAGAGAACGAGGCAAGACAATCAGTGTACAAACAGTCTTCTCTAAAGCTGTAGAATCAGAGGAACTCATGGGATACTTTGATAATAAAACCAAGTAAGAGTGCAATCATAATGTTAAACATATAACTATTGAATGTTCCAATTAGAAAACAGAAAAAAACATTGTTTTTGCAAGTTCAGATGAACAAATAAGGGGTATAGGACAAAAGTGTTATAACTTCTTTCAAGAAAGGGTTTATGTCTTTTCGGTAAGTGGTGACTTGCAAGTCCGGAAAAACAAAGTGATTACCATATTTATTGGTCTTCTACATTTTTCATAATGAATTTGGCATGTATTATTCCCATTAATTTGGTGAAACAGATTGGCCCATGGACCATACATTGTTAAATAATCAAAATCAAATAATTAAACTGATTATACAACAGAATAAGAGTATGGTTAGACATCACCATGGTGCATGCTGTGTGACTGCAATGCTGACATGAGTCTGCTATTTGAACTAGACAGTCAAAATGGTATAATAATAAAACAAACATTTTATTTCAGGGAATGGAAGGATGGTCTGTTTGCATCGTTGTTGAGGAAGTTCTGTGTACAACCACCTAACCAGAACTACAGCTTTAAAGCCAAACCTATCATGAAAATAATGCAGCTGGATGGGGAGGTAATTAGGAATATTTGTTACAACAATTGGATTTAATATGATGGCATTGATTTGTGAAAAAATTCTTAATGGAAAGTTTATAATTAATAAACATTGTAAAAGAAGCTGCCACTGGAAGATTGTATGATATATAATTTAACTAATGCTATTCAATTTATTTTTCTTTCCTTAAAACATATTCAATATTAAATGCATAATTATGTATGTAATACTGTTCTGCTGTTTGAATCCATGTACAGGTATAATTTTTCTTTTTAAAAATTGGACACAACAAAAAATAAATTGCTTGAGGAACATGAGCAAACTGTTTGGTAAAAATTAAAACTGTAGTAGTTTGCAAGTATATGTTAGTATAATGTTCCATATTTACCTAAACTAAAAAATGTCCTGTATGTATTTTATTATGTAGGCTGACCATGGTCAGTTAGAGTTGTTACAGAGTATACTGATGAATTGTGGATCTATGGTGCTAGGTAACAATGAGAGAATTGCTGTACCTGATACACTTAGGTTCATGTGGGAGGTAAATTCATAAACTTTTATCTTTGGTACATGAAAAAAAAACTATAGTTTAAGTTTGCATTAAGAAATAATAAACACATTTGGGGTGTTGATCAAACTGCTGAATCAGCACATACAAACTACATGCCTTTAAAGCCAAATAGAAAATTCTGTTTTTGTAACTCTATCCAAAATCGCTGATTATCTAAATGTATTTTGAGCTAGTTTAACAAAAAAATTCATATGTCAACTTGATAAGTGTGTGTACAAAAATTTGATCCCCATCACAAGTGTGTAAGCTTAAGAAAGACAGTTTTTTGTGTTCACCTATCTCAGTATTGAAAAGTCAAATTAAACAAAATTAGAAACATTCAGAAAAATATTTATTCATTATTCTCTAGTTTTAATTTCCAGATGTGAATGTAAATTGTTAAACAATCAGCTACATGGTTTTGATATGTAAACAGTCTATACTATTATTTGATAACTTGTACCATTTTTTTCAGCTTGAGTCCCTGGCCAACATGAGTCCATCTCTGTTAGCCAGTGTAGGTGTAATGGTAATGAGTAATACAGATGTAGGTTGGCAGCTTATGCTGGTACAGTGGCTTGAACGTAGACCAGACGCAGATAAAGACCTTCTCACAGGTAAGTCTAAACAACAGTCAACCCTTGTGCATATTCCGGTTTACTTTTGGTCAGTTAAGTTTAAGTATAGATCAGAACAAGTAGTAACCCTGCCTACTACTGAACTTTTCAAGCAAGCAGATGCTTGCTCCTTTAGTTCCAAGCAGTTATTTCAACTTTTGTTCATAATATCTTATACTGTACAGCACTTCTGTTTTGTACTCTCATTCTTTATTATTACACACCCTCCCTATCTGGAAGATATTTCTTTAGGTTTTTACTTTCATCTTTCACTTGTGGTGTACGCACCCTGCTCAGTATACTCTTCTGAGGAGTGAAGCAGTAATCCCAACATGACAGTTAAATTTATTATTTCATATTTTTGTGACAGTTAAATTTATTATTTCATATTTTTGTGACAGTTAAATTTATTATTTCATATTTTTGTGACAGTTAAATTTATTATTTCAGTTTTTTGTGACATGTTAATTTTTTATTTCAGTTTTTTGTGACATGTTAATTTATTATTTCAGGTTTTTGTGACATGTTAATTTATTATTTCAGTTTTTTGTGACATGTTAATTTTTTATTTCAGTTTTTTGTGACATGTTAATTTATTATTTCAGGTTTTTGTGATGTATATATCTACAAGACCATCAACTATCTGAGTGAGTGTACAAGACCTCACATGTTTACCAGTGCCAAGTCACCTTACCCACAGTTCAAGAGAGTCATCAATCATACCGTAGAGAATATGATCATGACATTCAGTACACTATTAGATGTAAGATGACAGTCTTATTTGAAAACATATAAACCAATTAAGAAATAGTAATTCATGTCAGAACATTTTAATGTTAATCTTTTAGTCTTGAGGGAAGATTTGTTTATTGTAAAAAAACTGGTTTATCTTCAGTTTTTTGTTTTTAGCTCACCTGTCACGAAGTGACAGGGTGAGCTTTTGTGATCCCTTTTTGTCCAGCGTCCGTCCGTCCGTCGTCCGTCCTTCCGTAAACTTTTACTTTAAATGACATCTCCTCATAAACCACTAAGCCAATTTCATCCAAACTTCACAGGAATGTTCCTTTGGTGGTCACCTTTAAAAATTGTTCAAAGAATTTAATTCCATGCAGAACTCTGGTTGCCATGGCAACCGAAAGAAAAAACTTAAAATATCTTCTCTTAAAAAACCATAAGAGCTAGAGCTTAGATATTTGGCATGAAACATCTTCTAGTGAGTGTCTACCAAGTTTGTTCAAATAAAAGCCCTGGGGTCAAAATTGGCCCCGCCCCGGGGGGTCATTGATTTTCCCTATATGCATATAGTAAAAACTTAAAAAATCTTCTTTTAAAGAACCCAAAGAGCTAGAGCTTAGATATTTAGCATCAAACATGTTCTAATAGGTGTCTACCAAGTTTGTTCAAATAAAAGCCCTGGGGTCAAAATTGGCCCCACCCCGGGGGGTCATTGATTTTCCCTATATGCATATAGTAAAAACTTAAAAAATCTTCTTTTAAAGAACTCAAAGAGCTATGGCTAAGATATTTAGCGTCAAACATGTTCTAATAGGTGTCTACCAAGTTTGTTCAAATAAAAGCCCTGGGGTCAAAATTGGCCCGCCCCGGGGGTCATTGATTTTCCTTATATGTGTATAGCAAAAACTTAAAAAATCTTCTTTGAAAAAACCCAAATAGCTAGAGTTAAGATATTAAGCATGAAACATCTTTTAGTGAGTGTCTACAAAGTTTGTTCAAATAAATGACCTGGGGTCAAAATTGGCCCCGCCCCGAGGGTCATTGATTTTCTTTATATGTGTATAGCAAAAACTTAAAATCTTCTTTGAAAAAACCCAAATAGCTAGAGTTTAGATATTAGGCATGAAACATCTTCTAGTAAGTGTCTACAAAGTTTGTTCAAATAAAATCCCTGGGGTCAAAACTGTCCCGGCCCCAGGGGTGTCATTGTTTTTAACTATATGTGTATAGTAAGGACTTAAAAAAAATCTTCTTTTAAAAAGCCCAATGAGCTAGAGCTTAGATGTTTAGCATGAAACATCTTCTTATGGGTGTCTACCAAGTTTGTGCAAATAAAAGCCCTTGGGTTAAATTGGCCCAGCAACGTTGGGGGGGGGGGGGTTGGGGGGGCCTATATACAGGTGAGCGACCTCAGGGTCATCATGGCTCTCTTGTTGTTTTTTTTTTTTAAAGAGTTACTTAGTACAGTTTTTCACATAACCAGCTTTAAAAAAGGGGGAGGGGGTGTTTGAAAGATGTAGCTTTAATATATCATCTTTATGCTGTCAGAATAAAAAAGTTTGTTTTTAACAGGAAAAAATCTTTCCTTTAAATGAATATATGACTTATGTATTATTTCATATTAAATCAAGCATATAAATAGCATTTTAATCAGAAACATGAATTTTTTTTGTTAAACGATTATGTTATGATATCTTTATGAAAAACAAATACATATTTCTTTTATTATCTTTCAATAATCACCTTACACTTACTACTTTAATAATTTTTAGGTGCATGTATTATCTATTTCTTCCATCTATGAATGGCTTGATTTATATATTTTCTATTTTTCCACAGACAATGGTGAATCCATACCCTGACTTGAGTGATGTAGAGTTTGAGAGATACTTTAACTTTGCATGTATTTGGGCATTTGGAGGTACACTAGAGGCCGAGTACAGGGACGCCTTTAGCTTCTGGTGGAGAGAGCAGTTTGAACAACATATCGACTTCCCAGATGAAGGCTTGGTAAGTTAGATGGATTTCTCTTGGTTATAAAGGTATTATACTTAGACTGTGTCAGACTGAAGGGCACTAATATTTTGTCTCTTGATTGTTAAACAAGCTCTTCTCAGAGTGCAGAGGGTTGTTTGATTTTTAACTAGAAACTCATGTAAAGTGTTGATATAATAATTTTTAGATTGTATCATGTTAAGAAAAGTTGTTCTACATTCTATGCAATGTTTCGTTTTTGAAAAGGCATAGATATTCTCTCAGTCTAGTAATTCTTGGTTATAAATCTGTTAGTTTTCTTACTAAAAATTCTATTTCAGTGATAAAACAATATACTTTTATATAGTATGACTGTATGTCTTTACAATTCTATGTCAGGTGTTTGACTTCATGGTGGACACAGAAACACACGAGTTTGTTCGCTGGAATGACATCATGCCAGCCTACAGCGGTACACCTCACATCGGTATTCCATCAGACGCCTTCGTTCACAGCGTCCAGATTGAGCAGATTATGGCTATACTCGGACTCCTGACCGATGCTGGAAAGTCGGTGCTACTGGTTGGAGAAAATGGCTGTGGTAAAACAGCTATTGTAAATGAAAGGATAAGAACTGTTTGTTCAGGAGAGGTGGCTGAAGTTCTTTCCCTTACTGTGCAAGCTAATAGGTAATGTATGACATAATGGGTATAATTATAACAAGAGAAAAGGGGACATTATGATGTTTGATGAAAAATATTTCTATATAGGTTTCAGCTAACTATAATCTTTTTATACCCCCACCACAAAATGTGGGGGGGGGCTATAATGGATTCGCTTTGTCGCGTCGGTCGGTCGGTCCGTCGGTCCCTCCGTCTCCATTTTCGTGTCCGCTCTATAACTCCTATACCACTTGAAGGATTTTCTTCAAACTTGGCTCAAATGTTCACCTCAGCAAGGGGATGTGCAGAACCCATGTTGCCCATGTGTCAGCTCAAGGTCAAGGTCACAATTGAAGGTCAAATATCAAACACAATCATATATTAGACAGTATGTTGTGTCCGCTCTGTAGGTCCTACAATAATTGAAAGATTTTTAACCAGGTTTTCCGAAGGAAAAAACTGGTTATTAGATTGAGGTATGTCGGCGGCGGGCGGGCGGGCGGGCAGACGGGCGGGCGGGCGGGCGTAAACAATTTCTTCTGTGCGCAACTCCTCCTACATTTCTCAACGGATTTTGACCAAACTTTCACAGAAGCTTTGTCATCAAGTGCCCTGGCGCATATTGTCGGGGTTTTGCGATTAGATAATATTTGACCTAATTATGGCCCTTTGTTTTTTTCCCTTATATAAAATATATAGTGAACAATTTCTTCTGTGCGCAACTCCTCCTACATTTCTCAACGGATTTTGACCAAACTTTCTCAGAAGCTTTGTCATCAAGTGCCCTGACACATATTGCCAGGGTTTTGCAATTGGTATATATTTGACCTAATTATGGCCCTTTGTTTTTTTTCCTTATATAGAATATATAGTTTCTGTGCGCAACTCCTCCTACATTTCTCAACGGATTTTGACCAAACTTTCACAGAAGCTTTGTCATCAAGTGCCCTGGCGCATATTGTCGGGGTTTTGCGATTAGATAATATTTGACCTAATTATGGCCCTTTGTTTTTTTCCCTTATATAAAATATATAGTGAACAATTTCTTCTGTGCGCAACTCCTCCTACATTTCTCAACGGATTTTGACCAAACTTTCTCAGAAGCTTTGTCATCAAGTGCCCTGACACATATTGCCAGGGTTTTGCAATTGGTATATATTTGACCTAATTATAGCCCTTTGTTTTTTTTCCTTATATAGAATATATAGTGAACAATTTCTTCTGTGCTCAACTCCTCCTACATTTCTCAACGGATTTTGACCAAACTTTCTTAGAAGCTTTGTTTTCAAGTGCCTGGCACATATTGTCGGGGTTTTGTGATTGGATAATATTTGACCGAATTATGGCCCTTTGTATATTTTTTCCTTATACAGAATATATAGAGAACAATTTCTTCTGTGCTCAACTCCTCCTACATTTCTCAACGGATTTTGACCAAACTTTCTTAGAAGCTTTGTTTTCAAGTGCCTGGCACATATTGTCGGGGTTTTGTGATTGGATAATATTTGACTGAATTATGGCCCTTTGTATATTTTTTCCTTATACAGAATATATAGTGAACAATTTCTACAGTGCGCAACTTCTCCTACATTTCTCAATGGATTTTGACCAAACTTTCACAGAAGCTTTGTCATCAAGTGCCCTGGCGCTCACTAAATTCCCATGTTTCTTCCAAGACATCATTCAAGTATTTTTTTAAAATTGTGAACATACTTTTCTTGATATCGCACAAAACACCACACGCCAATATTGTTGACAAAAGAAAATGACAAGAGACGCAAAAATGCAAAAATTAAGCAAAAATAAAGTACTGTTTACCTTTCTAAAACATTTGGGGAAAAAAGGCGAATAGACAACATAAAATTTCTCAAGCCATAATTCCTCCTAAAAGTTCAATTAAAAACAAATGCCCCTTCATGACAAAGCTTCTGTGAAATATTTTGCTGAAAACCTGGTTGCATCGCATTGCGATGTTCCTTGTCTTCAAACTTGGCTAAAATGTTCACCTCAACAAGGGGATGTGCAGAACTCATGTTGCCCATGTGTCATTTTAAGGTCAAGGTCACAATTGAAGGTCAAATATCAAACAATCAAATATTACACAATATGTCGTGTCCGCTCTGTAAGTCCTACACTAATTGAAAGATTTTCTTCAAACTTGGCTCAAATGTTCACCTCAACAATGGGATGTGCAGAACTTATGTTGCCCATGTGTCAGCTCAAGGTCAAGGTCACAATTGAAGGTCAAATATCAAACAATCAAATATTACACAGTATGTCGTGTCCGCTCTGTAAGTCCTACACTTATTGAAAGATTTTCTTCAAACTTGGCTCAAATGTTCACCTCAACAAGGTTATGTGCAGAACCCATGTCACTCTTTTGCCGGCTTAAGGTCAAGGTCACACTTGAAGGTCAAAAATTGACTTAGAAAATGTTCTTTAATTTTAACATATATCTGAATATTTCTGAATCCAGGAAAGGTATTTGCTTGAAACTTAAAATATAAATGAAGTGTCACAATTAAGATATGCTGGTCAAGTTTCATAACTCTGTATTGCATTTTAACAAAGTTATGCCCCTTTTTAATCTTCAAATTTACATACAATCACATATTAGACAATATGTTGTGTCCGCTCTATAAATGCTATACTAATGGAAGAATTTTCTACAAACTTTTCTCAAATGTTCACCTAAACAAGGTTATGTGCAGAATCCATGTCACCTTTGTGCAGGCTAAAGGTCAAGGTCAGACTTGAAGGTCAAAAATTGACTTAGAAAATGTTCTTAGATTAAAACATGTTCTTGAATATTTCGGAAACTAGCATAGGTATTTGCTTGAAACTTAAAAGATATATGAGGTGTCACAATTACGATATGCAGGTCAAGTTTCATAACTCTGTATTGCATTTTGACAAAGTTATGCCCCTTTTTAAGTCTTTAAATTTACATACAATCAATACTAGACAATATGTTGTGTCCGCTCTATAAATTCTATACTAATGGAAGAATTTTTCTTCAAACTTTTACTCAAATGTTCACTCCAATTGGGCGATGTGCAGAACCCATCATACCCTTGTGCCAGCTGAAGGTCAAGGCCACACTTGAAGGTCAAAAATTGACTTATGAAAAGTTTAGTATATTGGGAAAATGAAAGGTTATTTGTAACTGTTTCGAACATGATTTGATAATAGAAATTTTTACTATTACCTGTACAATTAGTCTTTTTTTCACCAGAGATATTTTCTTTTTATGTATTTGTGCCACTTAAGTTATTCCCTTAACCACCTTTCCAAGTTGTCTTCTGTCAAGGACATTGGTGGGGGTATGAATCGCATTCAGCGATAGTTCTAGTTCTCCTTAAACCTCCCTACTGTTCCGTTTCCAGAAGTTCCTGGATAATGATTCACCTCCTTTGAAGAGTATCAAGTATGCTAAACTTCTGTACTAAACTAAAATTTGAGCCATGTGTTTTTAATTATCAGCCAGACACAAATAACACTCAAGACATTTGATAAAAATAAAACATGAATTTATCATAGTTTTGATTTTCTTCACATTTACTAATTTCAAACTTATATTGTTGAATTATTTCAGGTTTACAAATTCCAAGCTCCTATATGATCGTCTGGATGAGAGGCTTGAATGGAAACATGGCAGGACATATGTACCTAAAGGAAACAAACGTCTACTCTGCTTTGTTGATGATGTCAACTTATCTATGGTACCAATAATTATTTACTTATTCATTTTTCTGTAGATACGAAAATTTTGTGCCCTTGATGAAACTCCTTTTTGAATTATAGGTCAATAGGCTCATTTCTGTAGCTGACGATAAGTCTTTGAAGACGGGCCGTAATATTATCATCAGTGCAAATTACTTCTAGCATTGGATTAAAGTCTCATCTTGAAAGGTTTTTGTGAAACTTTTGTTTCTTGGTTACATTAGTTTGGCCTCATGCCACCAAATTTGATTTTGAACAAAAATCATAAACATTGAAAACAGATTTGAGAGACAATGCTCTACATAACATTTTCAAAACAATAAATGTAAAAAATAATGGAATGAGAAGTTAAACTTATACGCTTAACGTCAGTGTAAGCTGCATTTAATAAAAATGTAAAAATATTTTGCTGTTGGCCTGAAAAACCCAATATGAAACCCATTTTATGAACGAAATGTAGATATTTCTGTTTTTATGAAATTTATAAAATACACCTGTAAGATACTTCTATATTTCTTTACAAATGGATATCATTATTATGATTACAGGTAGACAAATGGGGTGACCAGACAGCTATTGAGTTGATCAGAGAACATATAGATGATGGTGGTTTCTACAACCAGGACACACATGCCTGGAGATACGTGAAGAACGTGACATATGTCAGCACAGTGAACGCTAACACGACGGCTAATGTACCGAAACTTAGTCAGAGATTCCTCCGACATTTTGCCATGTTTGCTGTACCATTCCCATCGTAAGTTGTATCATTTATTAGAATGTATGTATGTAGTCTATGTTTAATGAAGGTCCCTACGCTCATTAAGGCACAAAAAGCAGCTTTTGCTGTTGAGTATGGACTCCAAACATGTCAGCAGTCATGCCCTTAAAGAATTGATTTTGAAGCAGAAACTGTGGAGATAATTTACCTTCATGGAATTCTCACGGATTAGTAACCAAGGTTATGAATTTTGAGCCAAAAGTAGGTCACTGTATGGCGGTAAATGAAAACCTAAATGTACAGTAACCTGAGACAATAATGAAAAGAGGTATCCCTTAAAACGTCTGTTGGTGCCAAGCAAAGGGCCTGCCTTACAAGCCATCTATCTGTGCTAGGGGCTCACCCACCCTAGCACACCATCCTTGTCGTCTCTGCCTTAAAACATCATAGGGTCACTCTCCTCAGCCTAAGTCAGGACACCAGCAGCTGGTCGTTTTGTGTCATCCCAAGTCTTCAAATCTTCCACCGATGCCCTGTGCCTTCTCAGAGACATGCATTTAAGTTTACTATTCATGATGGTACAGAAAGATAATAAAAAGCAAAATATATAGCTAATGATAAAATAGATTGTAACACTGAGGCAAAACTTTGTATTTTGACAGGAACTCAGAGCTGCAGACAATATTTACCACATTGACACATACCCATTTCATCACACCAGAGACAGCCCAGGGTGCCACAGGGGTACATCACAGCAACTTTGATGAAAAGGTAAAACTTCATTTTAAAGATATATTTTGTTCATACCATTCCTTTCTTCAGTTTAAGATTCCTTAATAGTTAATAAATTTAGCCTCACTTTCTGTGTTTTGGTATGAAGGTAAAAAGGAAGTCTTGGAATATTTACAGTGTAAGGTAATATGGTTTAACAATTTGAAAAAAGTTTTGAACGTTTACATTTTCTTAGACTTCATGTGCAAGCCACATTGTTGAATCATGTTAATTACAGATGTGGGGTAAGGCAACTTACAAAAAATGTGTGTTTATTTATAAAGTTGAAACTCATATTTCTGTATGTATTGAAAAAAAAAAGAAACATTCAAATTGAAAACTGAACTAATTCATTATTCAATATAATTGTTCTTATAGTTGGAAAGAAAACTTTTCATTTCCCTGTTAATCAAAATTATATTTGAAGTCTCGAAAAGGATTTCTTGAACTTTTTCATCATAACAAGACTGTGATGCTAGCTTTATCAACGTGTCATTGGGCAGCATCTATTTTTTTGTTGGGTTTTTTAATTTGAATAATCTCACATATCCACGCTGTAAGGCCGTGTCTTTGCTTTGTTAAAACAACACCAGTAAGCATCCATTTTTGTTTATTTTTTTCTCATTTTTTTTACCAGGCTCTTAAGAGACAACAGGAGAATGAGGAAATACTGAAGAAACTGTTGACTATGATAGTGCAGGTAACCATAGAGTTACAGGAACGTTTACGTGCAATGTTCCTACCTACAGCACAGAGATGTCATTATATCTTCACAGTCAAAGATCTCTCTTGTATATTCAAGTATGTTCATTTCTTTACCTTTGGGATATTTTATTTTAAAATATTTGTTTTAATTTTTTTCCTTATAGATTTGACTTTCAAGTTATTGCAAACTTTAAAAACTATTGAAATATTTAAAAAAAATAGGCTTTTCAACTTTTTAGGAAGAAAGATATGTTATTTAGAAATTAAATTCATGTATGAGTTGAAACACTGGTGAATGTTATTGCCTCTTTCCACAATACTTAGGTTGTACATGTATACGAAATTTGAAGTTTACTTGGTTTTCATATAAGTAAGCATTGAAATATAATACAACATTTTAGTCACTTTTGTTTTCACTTTTTTGTATCTTCTAAAAATGGAAACAAACAAATTTTTTCTAAATTCCAGGAATATTTGCCTGTCACTACAACCAGGTGTTGCTAAGAAGAACCTGTTGTTGCTATGGCAACATGAGTGTTACTGGGTATATGGTCATAGAATGGTGAATGAGGTTGACTTCCGACGTTTCAGACAGGCATTTAATGTCTCGACAAAGAAAGAGTTTGCTGATGATGAGTTGGTAAGAAACAAATCCTCTGTCATTTTAAAATGTATTTTTGTTCATGTTTAATGTAAACACTGTTGAACCTGCACTAATTTAGGCACAAGAACTTGCACTTAAGACACAACTTTAAGTAAAAAACACTCAAGATAATATAGAAAAGCACATTTGAACTACATGTATAGAACAAAATTACTGGATTTTGACCCATCAGCAAAGACAATTTTTCTGATTCTAAAAACATTCTTTTTATATGAGAGCGTATTGATTTGAGCCGAGTCACAACAAAACCAACTTAGTGGGTTTGCACCAGCATGGATCCAGACCAGCCAGCCCATCTGCGCAGTCTGATCTGGATCCATGCTGTTCGCTTACCAACCTTATTACAAGTAGAGAAACTGATAGCGAACAGCATGGATCCTGGTCAGACTGCGCAGATGCACAGGCTGATCTGGATCCATGCTGGTCGCAAACCCATTATGTTGGTTTTGTTATGACGCGGCTCATTTTATTTAATGAGACTGATTGATTATAGGAAGTTTAGTGGAAATTTACCTAACAACTATGATATGTGAATATGTGCCATATTTATTATACTTTATTACATATGACATTTATTATATAACAGGTACAGACTATGATCAGAACTAGACAGCCTCAGTTTAGTAACCTGATAGAGCAGGACAGTGGTATAGTGACGGCAGGAATGATTGATACCCGACACAGCACCAAGGTGTCCGAGGAAGATGCCAAAACAGATCTTTACAAACCGTTCAACAACCTCATGGAGGTTAAAGATCTCATGTCTAAAGGTGTAGAGGAATATAACAAAATACATCCGAGAATTAAATTGTCACTATATAAGGTTAGAATATAATTTATACATTTTAATTTGTTATATTTTCATTCCTTTCAATAATGCTTATGTTACATGATTATGTGAGGGTTAGTTTATACAGAATTTATTTAGTTTGATTGTTTAGAAAGCTATAAGCTTATAGGCACACTCTCGAATCCATTCCTTGAACCAACCAGTACTGAGCAATGAGTGTAAAGTTTCTTGCCTAAGGAAACAACTACTTGCCCCAGTTTGAACTCATGCGGCTAGTGATCATTAGATTTGTTTTGTTGTAAATTGATAAGTATACAAAATGTATAGGCACTTTCTTTTTTTCATTGTATAAATGTTATTTATAAAATTTTAAAGAGAAATGGACTTTTTCTTTTTTCATCCATAAACATATAGATGATTTCAAAAGATTATAAGTCTATTAAAGAGCATGATGGTAATAAAGGTATGTTGAAATTTTCAGGCTGTGGTAGACCATGTTTGTAGACTGGCTCGTACAGTTGCCTCACCTCACGAGAATGCTCACTGTGTGTTGGTAGCCGAGGGCAGTCCTGGTCAGTCTACAGTTGTTGTGAAACTTGCCGCTCACCTGTGTGGTTACACTGTCTACCAGATAAATCCCGCACCACTAGGTTCAAGTCTTGAATACAAGATGGAGCAGTTCAAAGCAGATCTTGTCCAGGGTTACACCAGGGCTGGTGCTAAGGTATTTGTTAATTAACTGACCTTCTTTGATAGATGCAATGTATTGTGAAATAAAATAATATTTTATTTTACTTCAAACAATAATATTTAGTTCATGCTCTTATACCCTTAGAGCAGTAACATCATCTCAACACCTTAGTGCAGTAACAGGTTAACTCCTATAAAATTTCAAAAGGAGTTAGCCCGTAACTACACTTATGGGACAATCTTATGCCAATAACTAAGAGGTAGACCCACCTGCACCTCAGTGCAGTTTACCCAGTCTATGCTCTGTTATCCACTCAATATTAGTATTTTGATATTTTAACTTAATTTGGATTGTTCCAAATTCAAAGCAAGAGAAGTTCACCACTCCATTTCTTAATTTAGCACAAAAAAGTTTGATGAAACACTAAAACTAAACACCACACTGAATTTTGCTATTGACCTTTTTAAGTGTTATGAATTGCTATGAATTCTCAAAATCATTTGTCATGACAGACTATCATAATAATGTAATAATTAAGCATGATTAATTAACCTTACTGATTTTTTGTTCACTTTTTTAGGGAGAGAAGATTCTATTGCTGTTACACGAGGAGGAGCTACTGGCTGAAGATTTCCTAGTTTTCTTAATTGAGTTTATCACAGGTGGCGCCATCAGTCATCTATTCCAGTATGAAGAGCAGACAACAATTATCAACTCCATTAGGACAGAGGTGACTCAGGCTGGCCTCACATACACCAGAGATGTGGCATGGAATTTCTTCTTGAAGTATGTCTTACATAAGTTATAAAAAATGTTTCTTGAAGTAAAGACTAGATTGAACAAAATAAATGAAAAACTATTTTTCACTAGAAAAGTCTTGTAAAGTGAGAGATTAATTGTTTTGAAAGCTATTAATGAAGCTGGAAATTCATTTTATGTGATATTACAATATGTTAAAACAAAATGGCAATTGAATGTTTTCCTAAGACAAAAAAGCAGTTGGAAGATTTCTTTTGATCTTAATAATTCTTCAAATGATAAGTGATTTCTTTAATTTCATACATACAACATCTTATATCATTTTCTTATTTTTGTATCTAAATTCTATCCTAGAACTGTGAGGAACAACTTCCGTGTATGCCTGATAGCAGGAGATGGAGGGAAGAACTTCCAGCGTAGATGTAGAGAATATCCGGCTTTCACCAAAAATGTGAACTTTATCTGGTTCCCACACTGGTCCAAAACACAACTGGTGGAGCATGCACTCTATCATTTACAAGGTAGGTACCAGCCAGTTTAGACAGGTCAAAAATGTCCATTGATCTAATTTACAATAATGCTGTGACTTTACAGCTTTTGATACTAGTGAAGGGAGGCATGAAATGATAACTGTTGTGTATATATTAATTAAAACAAGTGCTATGAAGAAGTCATCAATCTTTTCAAGGTAATGACTTTATAAGTAATGAACTCAAATCAATAAGGGGCTATTGGACTGTAAGTTGTCATTTATAACCTGTAGTTCATGCACTTCATGTAGACACTAGAGTAAAACTTGTCTCTCTGTAATGGCTGCAGTTGTGAAATCCTCTCTGTGGAAAGTGATTGTAAGATGCATGTTCATTTATTAATTCCATTTCAATTCTTAATGATTACAAGCATATACATGAAAGTATTTATGAGTATTGTTTGAAGACATGTATTTGTTTAACTGTAGATATGTCATGGATGAACGCTGTTCAGAAAGAGAATGTTGCTCACATGTTGGCCTCCATGCATCTGGTGCTACGACAACAAGATGGTCAGGAAAGAGATTCCGGTGAATACAGACATGTTACTAACACATCATACGAGAAGTTTGTAGAAAGGTAAGAACTTTTTAGAATTGATATTTATTATTATGTTAAGTTCTTCATTTGAAGAAGACCACAAAATGGAAATGGAAATTTTCTATAATCTGGCACACTTAATATCATGTTACATATTGATTCTAGGTGTCTATGTGGCTAAGCTGTTAATGTCACCTGCTTCAAATCACTTACCCCTCACAGCTGTGGTTTGGGAATCTTGTGAGGAAGTTGAAGATTGGTGATTCTACTGAGGTTTTCCTCCATCAATAAAGCTGGAATTAAAGTCATGCCATTGACAGTATTGATGTGCCATACAATCCAACAAAACAAATACATTGCTCCCAGTGCAGTACAAGCAATATTGCATAGTTACATCACTTAAGTACCAATCATTCACGCCTTTATGAATTTATGCCAATGTGAAATAAATAATTAACATATATTTAATTTTACAGGTTTATATCAATAGCCAATCACCGTCACAATAATGTACAAGAAGATAACGACGCTGTTTCCACGTCATTACATCAAATACGTCGTGAAAATGAGGTTGCGCTTAAACTGCGCAAGAATCTTGAACATGAAATGATTGTGTTGGAAGAAAGAAAACAGGCATGTTGATAAACCATTAACCTTCACATATTTGTATGGCCCTGTTTTAAATTTGGGACAGTTAGTTAGGGGCTTTAGGGATTACAGTATGAAAATAATAAAATTAAGTAGCCACCAGTACAAAGTGTGGTCAAACTGCATGGATTTGACTCCATAGTGGAGGTCATTAGCAATAATTGACAGTCATATTAGATAAAATTCAGTGATAGTTAATACACTTTAAAGCTTATCTATATATCATGGCATGTGATTCAGTGGTAAAGGTGGAACCAAGATTTGCGTATTTCTTATTGAAATGTTATCTAATTTTTCATGCCAACAAAGAATTTATCAAAATGTTTTGCTAATAAAAATTATTACCAAATAAAAAATGTTACAAGGTTTGATGGCTATGTTTTATTGTTCTACAGGGAACCATCAAGATTCTGTCTCAGATAGGCCAGGACACAGCTATCACTGAACAACAGATTAAAGTGGTCAAAGCTCAACTTGACAAAATCTCAAAACTTAAAAAGGTGAGATGCTACTATCCTAGAAACTGTAAAATCTTGAACATCAAAATAGAAATAGAAATGTGATAGTTCTTTAAAATATTGAATCTTGACATTTTAAATATAGAACTATTAGTTCAATAGCTTAATATAGAAAATATTTCAAATATTTTTCTTTGTCAATTTTATAGGAAAGCTTATTGTGAAATTTATACAAGACCTCCAATTAAGTGGTCATTTACACTGAGATTTCTTTGTTGCTATGCACATTTTATAAAATCTATTTTAGAATTTTGTGATAAAATATACACATATTTTACCTAATGTTGCATAAAGTTTTTGAAAAAAGAGACTGCTTACATGTTGTTGAAAATTTCAGACTTGGGTTTTATTGAGTCTATTCATGAAAGATATTGAAATGTTTAAAACCTCTCATACACCTTTAGCTTAAGCCGTTACTTTAAAATCAGTTCTCCACTTTTAAAATAATCGAATCAAAAAAGCTTAGGAAAATATATAATCACTCTGAGATGAAGTATGAAACAACTGAAAGTATGACTTAACTACAATGCAAACTCTACAGAGCAGGACCTCTTTAAAGCAATAACCTCTTTGCAACAACAATATCAAATTTTCCACACAAAAAAGATTTCAAAAACAAATTTAACTTCTCAGAAGCAACCAAATTCATTGTTTCCAAAAGGTATTGCCCTACAGAGGTTTGCTGATGTTATTTAACTAAACTACATATATGTAGTCATTACTAATATTATTAATGTATATATTTCAGTCATTACCAGAATACCAGGTAGCTCATGAGAGGGCTGTATACAAGGCTATAGCAATTGTTGCTGACACTAAGAAGGTGGTACAGAACATCAACATAGACAAGTTACATGAATTACGAGCCATGCAGAAACCTATCATTGATATAGAAGATCTAATGGCAGCCATTATCATGATACGTAAGTTTTTACAGTTTTTATGCCTTCACTTAGGAAAGGAGCCTATAGATTTGTCCTTTTTCATTTATCAAGTAGTACCTATGTAAACTGACAAAAAAGATGGGGGCATCCTTGTCCTATGAATACTTTTTTAGTTGATTGCTTACTAATGCAGGCCCAACATGGTTTAGTGGTTCAGATCCGTTACTTTAGATTATACAATGATATAATCCATTTTTCCTGTGCAGGTTCAAGTTATGTTATGGATGTTGAATTCTAACATGACCTCTGGTGTTGCTTTAAGTTTGTAATACCCGAGGAAAGCGAAAATCATCTTTCCTGTTTATGCATCATAAGACCTAGATTTTGTTAGTAGAGACAAAAAAAACACCAAACAAACAAATTCTTCAGCGAAATATGACCTAGATTGTGCTGGTGTGCCTTAAAACCAAACAAAACAAACCAGACTTTTTCAAATTATGATCCGTTTTAACAGAATGCATGTTTATGATATAAACAGATTAGAAAGAACCGGAGACACCTGAAACTAAAATATTGAAAGCATTTATTCAAAACTTGTTCTATTCTCCTTCTAGTGAAATCGCCTTCAGCAGATCTCACCTGGCAGAAAGGTGCCAAGAGACAGATGGCCAATATAGAGAGATTTATAGAAGAGTTGATGTCCTTTGATGACCAACAATTACCTGAGGCTACTCTGTTGCTTGTGGAACCATACCTGAAGAAACCCACATTTGAGCCCGATACCTTGGAACGAAAGACCAGTAACTCAGCCTGCGGATCTCTCTGTAAATGGGTCAGAGGAGTTGTGAGGTAGGCGGAGCTTATTTTATTTTATATTTGAGGACAAAAAAAATTTATCTGGTAAATATCAAATTTAAGAAAAGGATTAATGAAGCATCAAGCTATCAGTATATATAATCTGATGAAATAATTTGCCACAATCTATTGCTAAGAGTTTCATAAGATGTACATTTTCAGACTGCCTGATGAAAAACAGTTGCATTTCTTAAAGAAAAAATGATACTTTTCGAACCATTTTGAACCTTGTCCTCAATATACTTCTGTTGTTCTGTGTGGCCATCACATGATGTATTATTTATAATGATATTGAAAAAATATTTATATTTTTGTATGATGATTTCTAGGTATCACCGTATGATGATATCCAAGGTTAAACCACTCCATCAGAAGGTGGATGAAACCACAGCTGCAGTTGATGATGCGGAACATAAGATGTCGACGCTGGAGAACAAACGGAGGGCACTGGAGGTCCGGTTGTCTGGTCTAGCTAAAGGCTTCGAGGAAGCTACAATTGACAAGAATGAACAAGAGGAGAAGACAGTGAAAATGAAGAAAATGCTTGAGACTGCTGCACAACTGAGAAAGGTAAACTTGAGATAAAAATTCCCTACTGTGAGTTTACAATAGTGGCATGTTAAAAAGTAATCTAAAGTTATTATTTAGTTACTGATTTTATGGCCAATAGACAGAAAATTGCTTTACAGTACAATTCCTGCTGTAGTAATTTGCCTTTTGAAAAAGAATTATGTTGATGAATTTAAAAGGGAATATTTAATTCTATACATATTTGTTTAAGAAATGATTTTGTGAATGCTTTTGAAAAAAAAAAAAAAAATTATTACAAACAAGAATTGTTATGATATTGCTATGGACCTGAAGAATAGCATAACTTTTCCTTCTCAAGCTGTAAAAACCTACATTGTACCTCCTTCAGACAGGTTTTTTAGCTCGACTTTTCTATGAAAAGGGGAGCTATCCTACTCGCCCCGGCGTCGGCGTCGGCGTTGGCGTCACACCTTGGTTAAGTTTTTCGTACCACCCCACTTTATTTCAGAAGTATTACAAGTATGGCTTTGAAACTTACCATACTTGTTCACCATCATAACCTCCATCTACAGACAAGAGTACATAACTCTGTCAAGGTTTTTGACAGAATTATGGCCCTTTTTTAGCTCGACTTTTCTATGAAAAGGGGAGCTATCCTACTCGCCCCGGCGTCGGCGTCGGCGTTAGCGTTGGCGTCACACCTTGGTTAAGTTTTTCGTACCACCCCACTTTATTTCAGAAGTATTACAAGTATGGCTTTGAAACTTACCATACTTGTTCACCATCATAACCTCCATCTACAGACAGGAGTACATAACTCTGTCAAGGTTTTTGACAGAATTATGGCCCTTTTTTGACTTAGAAAGTGTATTGAGCTTGGTTAAGTTTTTTGTACCACCTCACTTTATTTCAAAACCATTGGAGGTATTGCTTTGAAACTGACCATACTTGTTTACTATCACGACCTTCATCAACAGACAAGAGGACATAACTCTGTCAAGGTTTTTGACAGAATTATGCCCCTTTTTGACTTAGAAAATACATTGAATATGGGTAAAATCCACTTATTGCCTTAACCCTTTGAGATATTGCTTTGAAACTTTTAATGCTATTTCACATCATTACCCCCATCTGTACGCAAGAGAAGGTAACTCTGTCAGGGATTTGTTTTAAAAATTAAGGCCTTTTATCGACTTAGAATCTTGGTTAACTTTTTTGTACCAGTCAACTTTTTGACTGAACTGGTTGAGATATTAAATTGAAAGTTGGAATACTTGTTTACCATCATGGTCCCAAAACATGGGCAGGAGAAGGTAATTCTGTTAAGGATTTTATTTGAATTATGGCCCTTTTTGACTTAGAAACTCAGTTAAAATTTTCATTCTTGTCCACTTGTTGACTTAACCATTTGAGATATTACTTTGGAAGTTGGAGTTCTTATGTGCCATCATGAGACCTATCTGTAAGCAAGAGAAGATAACTCTGTGAAAATGTTTCTTGATTTGTACTTAGAAATTCCTAGTTAAAGTCTTGTGTGCCCTTAACTGTCAAAGTTTTGTTTTATAGGCAAGCACTAAAAAGTCGAGCGCGCTGTCCTTCTGACAGCTCTTGTTGACTTAGAAAGTGTATTGAGCTTGGTTAAGTTTTTTGTACCACCTCACTTTATTTCAAAAACCATTGGAGGTATTGCTTTGAAACTGACCATACTTGTTTACCATCACGACCTTCATCAACAGACAAGAGGACATAACTCTGTCAAGGTTTTTGACAGAATTATGCCCCTTTTTGACTTAGAAAAATACATTGAATATGGGTAAAATCCACTTATTGCCTTAACCCTTTGAGATATTGCTTTGAAACTTTTAATGCTATTTCACATCATTACCCCATCTGTACGCAAGAGAAGGTAACTCTGTCAAGGATTTGTTTTAAAAAATTAAGGCCTTTTATCGACTTAGAATCTTGGTTAAGTTTTTTAGTACCAGTCCACTTTTTGACTGAACTGTTTGAGATATTAATTTGAAAGTTGGAATACTTGTTTACAATCATGATTCCCAAACATGTCCAGGAGAAGGTATTCTGTCAAAGATTTTATTTGAATTATGGCCCTTAACTGTCAATGTTTTGTATTATAGGCAAGCACTAAAAAACTTAAAAAATCTAAAAAAATTCATTCCTATCCACTTGTTCACTTTACCATAAATTATGTCATATAAACATTGCTGTAAGGGTATCACACAATTCAGTAAAATAATTCTTCACTAAATATCTTAATGCTCATGGCCATTGTTCACTTTAAAAATACAGAGATTCTTGTATTGCCTTTTACTGCAAAAACTTTTTTTATTGGCAAGCAATAAAAAAGTCGAGCGCGCTGTCTTACGGACAGCTCTTGTTTGTTTTAGATATCCCAATATATTATTAACAACTATAGTTAAGTTAAAAAACGTTTTTTCAAGGATTTTGTATTTCTATTATAGATATTGAAGGGAGAAAGACAGAGATGTCAGCAGATTTATGACTCACATGATCGACGATTGATCTCGATCTCCGGAGGTTGTGCTGTGGCTGCCGGATTTGCCACGTACCTAGGACCATACCATCATAACTTCCGCAGGGTTATGTTGACAGTACACTGGCCAAATTGTCTGAGGGAAAGGGGAATACCTCTGGTTATAGACTCAATTGATGGACTTAAAGGTACTGTATTCAGTATATTAATAACATTGAAACTTTGAATGCACCTTAAGAACTTTATCATCTTAACTAAAAATCATGTTATCAAATTTTGAAATGATTAATAATTTGAGATATATTTTATTGATTATAAGTGAAGTGACTTAGTAGTTTTTGGAGTCCCATTTTAAACTTGTGTCCCTTTAAATATTGCATTAAAGTTGGAACTACATGCCACAGCTTCCTTCATAGCCATTTAACAGTCCCTTTCCTTTAATTTTCTTTTACCCATTCATCATAAAACTTCTTGGGGATCATAAGTTAAAATAAGTTTACATTTTGCCCTGGAGAAAAAAAAATGTAAATAAGTTTTGGAAATGTATAATAAATCTTGCATCTTTTTCTGTATAGGCCGAGTGATAGATTGGTCAATAGATTTCTTAAAGACAGCATCTGGGGCAAGCCAGGTGTATGATGTGGACTACACATCGGCATTACTTGGTGAAGATCATAACTCAAAAACCAAAAAGGTAAGTCTTTTAGCATTATATTACGTTATACTTGTAGATATCTATATCAAAAAGAGAAGATACTTATCCCTAAAGAAAGCCCAACACAGCAAAATTGACAATGTTGCAGGCTCAGTTTGATTGAGCCAGTTCATGGATGGTACTGGAAAAAGTAAGTTACCGTAAGCGCCCCCTAGCTTAAGCTGATTTTAACTTGAGAGAACCTCATTGTAGGAGTGGTAATAGTTATTTCAATGAGAGATTTTCATTTCAGCTGTTTGAGTAGCAACAATGACATTATATTAGGAAAGGACCTTGCCTCCATATGAAAGAATCCTATTGATTATTAGCTCTCAAGTTAATTTTGGAATTTTTACAAGAATAGAAATTACCATGTGAAAATCCGTTGTGCCACTAGGATTGACAACTGAATAAGAACAATTTATTGAATAACAAGTCAAACTAACTGTAAAATATACATATTTTCATCAGGAGTTGACAGATATAGTAGAAGAAGAAGAACATGCAGTGGAGAAGGAAGGTGCTGGTGAGGAGAAACCTGAGGGTGAGGAGAAAACTGAGGGAGAGAGGAAAACTGGCAGTAGAGAAACTACTGAAAAAGAAGAAGACAGGGCCAAGGAAGATGAAAAAGGTAGGTGTTTACCCATATCCTGGTGAAATTTTTAGATGGGCTTGTCTGGTTACTATTTTTGGAACTAACGGTATACATTATCAGTTTTAGGATTATCACTTGAAGGAATATCACTTTTAGGATTGCCACATATGATTATCACATTTAGGATTATCACTTTTAGGATTTTTTCTTTTAGGATTATCACTTTTAGGATTTTTTCTTTTAGGATAATCACTTTTTGGGGATATTTTGATGACATTTTAATGCCTAGCTAGATTACACAGATGTGCATCCTGGTTGGTCTGGTCTGACTCAAAATTAATGGCGAAGGCAAATTAAACAGTATCTGTTATCTATGATAACTTTTAGTATAAGTTTGTTGTCAGTCTGTAACAATTTGTAATTTTGTAATATATGATTTCAGATCGTGATTCTCCAGTACTGGAAGAGAAGTATGAATCTCAGGAAGGTATTGAACCAGATGTGAGAGGAGATGGCAGTGAAATTGATGAGAACAGTCAGAGTCAATATACACAGGTAATCTAAATTTGTAAATTATTTTCAGTGAATACAGGTAATTTATATTGTTTGCTAAACAAATTTCAAAGCCAGTGTCTGACTATTATTCTTGGATTTTGTGTGAACATAGTTATTTGATAATTAAAGAATGGCAGTATGATATTAATATGCAATGCTGTGTTGTACGTTTTGTGATATTATTTTATATTTTTGTGATATTTTCAGAGTACAACACCAATGCTGTCATCTACACAGTACAACAAATACATGAAATCTCTCATTAAACTACTGGTCGGTGAAATCACACTTAACAACTGGCTTAAACAAGGTATGTACAGTTAGTCATGTGTGACAATTGTGACTATATTAGATAGTTTCACAGAAAAATGCGTACATAGGACTTATGTTTAAAGTTCAAATTTTCACTGACAGCATAGTCATGTGAGTAAATGCTGGTTTACAGATTTGAAATGGAGAGGTTTTTCGTAAGCATATATTTTTCAGTGACTTGAAATTGTAATTGAATTCATTAGCTTAAGTATTATATTTTTTAAGGAAGTAAGGTATTACAATATTGTTATGTTACTTCAGGTACATGTCTATTTGTATGATTATAATTGAAAGCTTGGCATGACCTAATGTTAAAAACATAAAGCATATGTAAGGGGTCTCTTAAATGAATGATGTTAAAAGTTTGGAGTCTTGCTCATTAAGTAAGAAATAAGGCAAATAGCTACATTGAAAACAATATCACTTTACATATTCAGATGATATATATATAATATTAATGAACATAGTTATGCTATTTGAAAATTGTTGATAATATTATATGTAAACAACTGTCTTGATTTGTGTTTGTTAGATTTTGGTCCGAGACAGATGGAGAACGCAGCTATATTGTGCTCGTCGTGGCAGAGACCACCAATGTTGATAGACCCAAACAATGACGGTGCTGTGTGGCTTGGTAGACTTAACTCTCTCATGAACAACAGAAAACTTGTCTCACTAGACATGGAAACTAGGTATGTTATATAGTGATGATTGTGTATAGGGCTAGATTATATTACAGGTATGGTGACCCCCCACTTGAGTAATATCCTTTAGATAAGTTATAATATTTTCTTGTACCCATAAATACATCCTGTACAGATATTGTTATTGTCCGTTTACTGAAATTACTAAGAATAGGCTAGTTTTTCAACTTTTGTTTTTCGTCCAAGTAACATTGAGTTAAATTTTTCAAGCAACTTCATTTCTCATTTTACTATGAAATATATCCAGTTTAAACTTAACATTAAAAAGGTCATTTGCATTTTGGGTTATCATTGAAGGTTAATGATTAAAGCTTACTATTCTTGGTTTGAAAACTTAATTAGGCATACTGGTATTCTCTTGAAATTTATACATATTTTTTGGTCATATAACAACAACCATAACTTAGCATGGATTTTAGGGATTTACTCAAGAATTAAAAGTCAAGTACTCTGTTCATTGAAAGCTCTTTGTTCTGGCACATTTTTAAAGGCAAATGCCTTCTTTATTTACACATAGCATCTAAAATAATGTTTATTGCTGTCTTACTAAATTAATTTTGAAGTTGTAAATAATATAACATGTAGTTTTAAAGATACTTGACATTTTATATGGTTTGTTATAAACAGATGTCTGGTTATATAACCTGAGCTGCTGCTCAAGGGATATATTGCAAACAACAGTTTATACATAACTATATAACCTGTCAAACATCTTTGTAAGATTTACAAATTTATAATGCTGCATCATTGTTTCTTTTGATTAATGCAACAATTAAAAATTTTCGAAAACAGGAGATCTGATACAAAAAACCCAAGTAGTTCAAACTTGCAGACTCTTATTGAAACTGGTCATTAAGTTAATAACATTCACAGCACAGCTTCAATGAAAATTGACTTTACAAACATGCAGTATTATAGTTTTTGAAACGAACATCATTACATAGTTCTATGCAAAGTAGCTTAATTTTTCTATGTCGAATATTTTTACTTTAACATCTAACACTTTCTGAATTAAAATTATTACATGCATTGCATGTCCACCCATTAATATAATAAGGAGAGCATTGGGTTTGTAATCCAGGGGTTGCTGGTTCAATTGTCTGTTGACAGTTCATATCAGACATTGAGTCTAATGTTAATTTTTTCTTGCCAGTGATTCAGAAATAATGTGGGATAAGTTGTTTGTCACTTGGGGAGTAATTGGTAAATACTGGTAAGTTATCCAGGAAAGCTGGTTAGGTGAATTGACTGCCAAGATATGGCCAAAATTGTATTAAAACAGGCGTTACCAAATAAACAAACAACATATCAACATAAGGGAAAAATATATTAACATAAGAGAAAAATGACTATATATTTACTTTTGGGTTGGGCATACAAATTATACAAGATTATAAAAGTATACAAGATATGAAATAGTAGTATTTTTTCAATACTTTGATTAACAGTTGAAGCATGTTGAAAAATTTTAGGGTAGCAAAATGGGGTTGGGTGGGGATAGGGGTCTTCTCTTTTTAAAATTTCATTAATTTGCTTTTAATTTGAGTAGAAGCATACTTTTTTAATCAAATTAATAAAATTTATCCTGACATAAATTTATTAGTAAGAATTTAATTAATTCATCAAACATTGCATTATAATTAATAACACAATAATGTTCCTTTTGTTTATATAGTCATTATAGAGTCAAAGAAAACTTTATATATTATGATAATTAACAAAAATTTGGGTTGTGTGGTGAAATTATTTTTTTTAATAGCAAAGCAAAAAAGTGCCCTTTTGATTGAAGCCAGAAGAAAAAAACACAGATGAACAATTTACAACCTTAGAAATATTTCATATTTGCCATAGTAAAGTAAAGCATAACCATTTTATATATCAAACCACTGCCTTTTAGGAAAGAAGGTGTTTATATTTATCATATCCCTAGATTTGGCCAAATGATTAAAGAACTTATTTTTCTCCAAAAAACTTTTTTTTTTCTTCATAAATTTAAAGTTTTCTTTGACTGACTAAATTATATTCTAACATTATAATATAGACTACGCTAATATACATGTATATAATATATATTAATGTAGCTAATGCTTTTTTTCTTTGTGTTGTTTTGCTTCAATGTGGCTGCTGTGCTGTGGCTGTGTAAATTACTCAACAACAGATGGTAGGTCCAAATGTTTTTATACCCATATATTATCATCCCTTTTATGTTTCTTTTAGATCAATAATATGAGGGTTTTTTAGGTTAGGTGGGTGATTTTTGAAATACTTTTAAAGGGGGTTTTTTTAAATTTTTGGGACAATTTATAATTTTTTGGACATACACACCGTAAAATCTATTTTTGGAGGGGTGTTAGCTGATTAAATACTTTTTTAGTTTTATGAGTTTTCAGGAGTACAATAGTAATTTTATAGGGATTTTTTGGGACTCAAAAATAAAAGAGGTAAATTGAAAATTGAATCATAATTTTTATATGGTACACATGGTACAATGCTAAAATTTCTTTTGTTACTTTTTATGGGTATAAATTAATGATAAAAAAATTTTTAAAATTAGCAATTTTAGTTTTAATTAATGGATTTTTGGAAAAATTTACATTTATATCATCTTAATAATAGGTGAAATGAAATTTTTATTTATTATGAAAGGGGGTTTAAAAACATTAATAACTAATTGTTTATTTCTTTGTTTTATGTTTACCTAAATTATTCCCTTACGGGCAAAGGGTTAAATTTTGTACCAAAACAATTTTATCATGCTGATCTTTCTAACATTTAATCATACTTCTCAAACTGATTTTTTAAATTTATTCATAGAAATTTTTTTTTTAACATTTTTTGGAAATTTTTAATATAAAATTCAAAATTTTTTAAGCATTGAGAGAAAAAAAAAACTTTTAATGCTAAACACTTTTTATTGTTTTTCAAAGTTTTTAAAAGGCATAAAAAATAACTTTTTTATTTTTAAACATAAATTTAAAAACCAAATTAATTTGCAATTTTTTAAAAACCCAGAAAAAAAACTTTGTACAGAAATTGTTAAGGTTTTTAAAAATTTTTAAATTAAAAATTTTTATTTTTAAAAATTTCTTTTTCTTACAAAAAAATAATGGTTTTTTAATTTTTTAATAAAAAAAAAAAAAAAACAAAGAAAAAGTTTTTTTTTTAAAAGTTTAAAAAAAAGTTTTTTAAAAGGTAAAAAATTTTGATTTTTACAGGTCAGATCCACATGTAATATTGACGCTAGAGAAAGCAATCATGCGAGGAAAGCCAGTGTTATTGAGAAATTGTCAGGAACATATCGATAATATCATTACTCCACTGATGCATCATAGAAACACAGCCATGGAAGATGATAAAAATGAAGGTATGGTATAGTCTTTTACTTTAATAGTGTTTGGCATGTGTTATTTACATTTTGTGTAGAATTTAATTTGTAACATTTTGTTTGTAAAAGTTTTCAGAAGTTTTTCATATATATTTTCTGTAAAAGTACAGGAGAGATTTTGACAGTTTTAAGAACATTTTATTCAGAAAGGAGAATTATTTTAAAAAGTGTTAGAAAAAAATATTTCTGCTGAAAAGACCCATATAAAAACACACACCAGTTTTCAGTCTTTTTCCTTTACCCTTGAATTTTTTTTTCAAAAGTAATGTTTATCGCAATATCTTAAGCAAATATGAAAATAATTATATCTTTGACTCATTTATGAGTTTCTAACTTTTTAAAAAACAAATTTGTAAAGCTCTTTCTTCAGTTTATATACTCTTACAATAATAATTTTACGCATCTTATTCACATACCTGGCACTATTACAATTTGTTTATTTTATTTTCCAGAACCAAGAATGATCAAGTTCTGTGGCAGACGTATTCTGTGCCATGAAGACTTCAGATTCTACCTGTCCACCCCACTTCCAAAACCCAAGTTCAATCCTGAAATAGCCTCGACCACAACCATCATAAACTTCGGTGTGTCTCACGACACTCTCACGAGGACTTCCTACGACTTGCAAAAAACAAGGGCCCCACCCTACAAGGAACGTATCCCGCATGAAAAATTAGGTTCAGAAAAAAGACTTACATCACCCGTCTTTTCGGAGAGATAAAGTGTTAACAAACCAGGAAGCCATAATGGGCAGTGCTAAAGCTGTCAAGTTTATTACTGACTTCACAAATGCCAAATTGAGGTAAATATGTTGATTTCTCACATCATTTACAAATTTTTTTTCCTTGTAAATGTACAAAATTTTTTAAATGTATACGTGTATATAAAGTAAATCTGCAGAGAAACCTTTTTGAGACAAGATTTGTTATGTTAAGTTGCCCAGAAAATTTTGGTTTTAATTGGGAAAAAAAATTTTTTTTGTTATTTTTGAAGAGGGCCCAAAAAGTTTTGTATTTTTATTTTTTTCCCCAAAGTTAAATTTAAATGAAATTTTTTCTTTGGGAAAAAAAATTTTATAGTTATCAATTTTTAATTTAAAAACCTTTTTCTTTAATTTTTTTATTTTAAACCCTTTTTCTATTTTACAGAAATTTAAAATTTAAACAGCCCCCTTTTATTTTCCTAAATTTATACTAAAAAAAAATGTTAAAAGTTTTTTTTAATAATTTTCTTTCATAAAACTTTCATAAAAAGGAAACCCTTTTTATTCTTGAAATACAATATTTATAATTTTTTAAACTTTTTTTCATTTTTAAAAATTTTTTTCAATTTTCAGCTGTCCCAAAAAATTACAAGAGACATTCACGCTGATGGAAGATCTTGATGTACTGAAAGATGAGTTATACCCCTTGGCACGACGGGCAGCCATGTTGTATGCCATCTCGAGAAGTTTACAGAGTATTCATAACGAGTACCAGTTCTCACTGGAATATTTTATACAACTGTTTGACGAGGCTGTAGGCGGAGAATTACCAGATGAATTTATACAAGGAATTAACCAAGAAGAGGTAGTGTACCTTATACAGTGAAAAGTTGGAGCCTTTAATTCAGTCTTTTTTATATTGTTTGAGTGTATGAAGTTTTGTTGCACCTGTTTATAAGATCTACCATATGAATGGATACCAATCATGGCTGAGTTGTTGCCCCTTAAACTGCTGCCAGTATAGAACCAGTCCAGCCTGTACGATTCCATGCAGTAAGACCAGGCCATATACCAGGTCATCTTGATATCTTAAATTAATAATGTACAGCTGTGCAAGTTTATAGAATTAAAACAAATTCAGCAAATTAAAGGGTTAAGTAAATAACTGGGAATAATTTGGTTTTCACCTTGCGGGGAACTACAAATTTTTTCAAATGAGGAATGAACTATATCCAGCCAATTTATTGTTGGTGGATGGTTCTACTTCCCCCACTTGTTAAACTGGAAATTCATCAACTGACCTTCAAAGTGTCAGTTTGACATAAAACGCAACCATTACCACGATAAAAGATTGATTATTACATACATGTACACTGTTTCTTTTTAGCCTCAGACTGTTGATACCAAATTGAAAATTGGAATGATAATAAATAATTGAAAAAGTTAATATAAGTCACAGTTTATATGATCAATTTCAGGGTTATGAAGATGATGATGACAGTTCTAGTCGTGATGGAGATCGTAAGACACGTGTTGGTAGTTCCTCATCACATGGTTCCCAAGGTGATACAGCAGAGAAGGGAACCGATAAGCAGACGACAGCCACAAAACAAGATGCTGGTCAGAACGAGGCTGACTTTGATGAGAAGAGTAAACAAGAACCAACAGACGGTATGTGTTTTGATCCACTATATAAAGGCAAAAAGTTGGTATCATAGTAGTTGCTGAATATGTCATGTCATTTGTTTGTATATGTTTTATGTATAATTATCAAAAGCTGTTTGCTTAGAAAATGTTTATCAAACTGAGTTCAAATGCCTTGTAATATAATCACCAATTTTGGTAGGCCTTAGTGACTAGTTACAAAGCATTTGAATGATCAACCGTGAATTATTATGCTTCAACACATTTCCATTTTAACAAGCTTATACAAAAAGAATTCAAAAAAGAATGTTAAACTATCCTGAAAGGAGAAGTTATTTTCCTGATGTAATTTGGTTCATTGATGTCAAATCTGACATCATAAAGACTTGCAAGCATTCCTTTTTGTATGCCTTGCATATAAAACACTGAGCTGTCCTGTTTAATTGGGAAATTATGCAAAGTGTGTTTGAATATACATTGTATGTTTTTTTCACAACAACTACATATTACTAAACATATTGGTGTGCATACATGTACAATGATTTCTTATTCATAAAATAATTATCATTGCATAATTTATAATTCGTAACTACAGAATCTGCCAGTACAAGTGCTGCACAGCGTCTAGTTGCTGGTACTCAGTCTGAAGAGTTACCTGCCCTTGAGTTACCACAGACAGCCACACTGCCATCAGAGGGCGTTGAGTACTCAAGTTTCTCAGCCAATCAGATCAAGCAGCTCATGGATAAATTAACTGGACTGGTTTACAGAAGAATCAGAGAGTAAGTACTCAGTGTATTTTCCTGTCTTTTCACACAGGATAACAAGAGAAATGAGTTATATTTTTACTGAAGTATTGTTTTTTTTTTTGGTTATACTTTAAGAAGTTTACATTGCCAGTTTTAGTTTAACAACATTTTTGTCAATTGTGATGTCTATATAGAAATCATATGATAAAAACAAATTGTTTTTGATATTGAAATCTAAAAGTTTTAACAATTGTACCAATCTGCTGTAAGAAATTTACTGTGACATGAAGAATTTCCTTCTAGGAAAATTAAGTGTTAATATTAAGATGTTGGTCTGATTATTTATGTAATAATGAAAAAATGACAACATTCATTCATTCATTATCATAATTTATTAATATAAATGTTTTGTAGGAGTTTATATGAGGAGGATTGTCTGTTGTTTGCTACGCTACTGTGTCTCAACATACAAGCAGAGGGTGGAGAAAACTTCACCAATGAGGAAATGTCACTTTTGCTGCAAGGTATATTATTGTTTCCATATCTTACAATATACAATACAATATAGTATATCACTGATATGCTGTTGTAAAACTGATGTTAATCTCATCAAGTGTGTTGTTTAATTTTGTTAAATTGTTTGTTTCTTGTGTTTTAACTCCATCTTTGTAGTATGTCCAGAATTTGGATGATCCGAAAGGCTTTTTACTATTAAAATTGGCACCAGACACTTTTTTTGTGTAAGGAATGATCCGGTTTTGAAGGGTTCGGATTAGCAAGGCTCCACTGTATTTCATTTAAATATTGACTGATCATTATGAAGTGAACATTCATGTATTCTCCCAAGTACTTGCTATTAGTTTCCACTAGTTACTGCCTATTTCTCTATGTAAATCATTTGAAACAGTTGTTTAAGAAAAGGCATTGGACACAAATGAGAGAAATTAATTCAAGAAAGATCTAACACTTATTTAATAAGGAGGGTGTAAATTTAAGTCTACAAAATTGTTTTATTTAATTCCAGGTAACCCTGGCCTTGGTATGCAGCTGACCCTGGCTGACTTTGACTGTAAAGACGAGGCTCCAAACTGGCTGCCTCAGGAGAAATGGGAGGATATACTTGCCCTCTCTGTGCTGCCAGGACCCCTGGACTCCCTGTGTGTGAACTTTGCTCAGAACACGGAAGCTTGGAAGGCCTGGTACAAGGGACATTATCCTGAACAAGAACCATTACCGTTGTCAGTGGTAGCAGCTGGAGCTTCTATGGGTGAGTCATCTTCCTATTTTTATCTTCTTCCCTGTTGATTGTTATAAAGCACTACTCATATTTGGATTTTGGAGTCTATCCATAATTAGTATTTCATTGATTTTTAGGTAAAATAATTGAATTCAGAAGTCAATTGTTTTGAACCTGATCAAACTCCATTGAAGATCTGGCTAGCTTTGTTCTAAGCATTAAATTGTGCCGTTTTTAGAGACATTTACAGTTAATATGCATGTATATCTACATATATTTTTTTTTGTTTGAGAACATAGTCATGCTTAAAATTTGCTTCATAGTAGCATCTGACTTGCATTTTTAGCACAAAGGAGAACGGTTATATTGCAAAAGTTTTGAAAAGTACCTTTGAATAAAATAACAATGCATATTAAGCATTCAGCATTGAAATAGGGGTCTTAACTGTGTTGAAACATAATCAATATGATGAGTTTGTTTTATCTTTTACAATTTTTTACAACTTTTTCATCATTTAACATAAAATAATCGATAATAATAACAATCGATAAATGACCATTCAACATTCAAGAGGATTGTATACAGTTTTATAATCTTGGATTCAGGATTACTACAGATTTCTCTCATTGACCACAACAGACATAGTAAAAAATTATAATGAAGCAAATTTCCTGACAAAATGTTATAGCTTTAATATGAATAATAATACTTATGTTTATATTGATATGTTATTATTTTAGAGACACGCCCTGGCTCTACAGAAAGTAATAAGAGTACCAAAGAGAACACATCTAAGTCACCAGATCTCGGACCGTTATCTGAGTTCCACCAACTTCTCTTATTGAGAATGCTGCGTCCTGACAGACTTCCTGTTGCTCTCGCAAAATATATAAACAAATACCTGACACTTAACCTACCTGGTATGTATAAAACAGTATTTTTCAGAATTTTAATATAGCAATTTCCCGCCTTTCTAATAGGTAATATTTTGACACAATAGTAACAACAACACAAATCAAAGTATCAAATCTTGAATGATCATCTTATTGCTCCAGATATGATTTGATGTTGATTTACATGCATAGGATATGTTTTAAATCATGTATATCTCACAGGTAGTGGTAACGAACAATGTTCTGTTCTGTTTGACACACAAATTATTTTGTTCCTAATTCCTTCAGAGACATACCCCTAGTGACTTCGGGTTGCCTTGAATGGTTTTGGCCACTGCTTATAAGAGGTACTAAATGGGTTCTTTCAATTGGAGTCTATGCATCTCTAAGCTCCAGCTGGTGATGATTATCTTATGATTGATTGCAGCACAAGATAAAAGATAAAATAATAATTGTAACACTGGTGATAATTTATTCTATTTTATGTTTACAGATCAGATAGAGTTTAATCTACAAGACACACTACGAGACTCACGCCGTCATCTTGGAGTTCTCTTACTGCTACCTGAAAGTTTGTCTTCTATAAAATCACAGCCTGTAACCAGGCTAAAGATGACTCATCCACCAGTAGATGTGCTCTTCAAACTTGCAAAGGTATTCTATTTAACCTTGGAATACTAGCAGAAAATTATGACTTCTTTATGTTTATTATAAAAGCCATGTGCTATATAGTTATCAAAAGGTTTCAGCTAAACATTTGTGTCTTCATTTTTAATATGACATGTTTTATAGGTGTAACACGACATGTCCGTTTCTGTTATAGTCCCTTACAGCTGTGGGTTCAAATCCAGTCGGGGGCCTTGGATTATTTCATGTGAGGAAGCTATTCAGTTAGCTCATGGAAGGTCGGTGGTTCTACTCAGGTGCCCGCTTGTGCCTGAAATAATGAACAAAGGAGCAACTGAGGTCTTCCCCAAATAATGAAGCAATAAAGTTGCCATATGATCTTTATAGTGTCAAACAAAAAAAAGATCTGTTATTGAAATAGTGAAATATGTTTTTGTTTAATAAAACTGTTTTTGCAATGTTTGTATTCTTGTATTAATTGGCTGAATGTTGTTTTTCTTCAAAACAACAAATTGAAAAAGCTGATTATAGTGTAAATATGATCTCTTTAACAGAAGTCTTTATTGCAATTAAATACAGTAATATTTTGACCAATTCTTCAATAGAGTGAGAACGTGAATGTAGAACATGTACGTATTGGTGAAGGTAGCGAGGTGCTAGTTGAGGAAGCTATAGACACTGCTGAGAAGAACGATGGCTGGGTCGTTATCGAGGATCTGCATTTAGCTCCTGAAAAATTCTGTAACCAGTTGAAAAAACATCTCATCCGTGTTAACAGGAGTAGAGAGAAACTGAGAGGTTTGTATTTTTACCATTTTATGATGATAAAGAGTTTGATTAAAGTTTAGATATTAAACAATACTTCAGATGTTTATGCACAGGAGTGTCTGCTTTTCATCATGAATTTGTTATGAACATGTTTAGTGTTTTCCCCTTTGTATTAATTTAAACGTTTCTTGTTTATTATAATGAAATTGTTTTCACCAAGAAGTATGAATTTGTTACAATCATGTATATTAGTGTTTCACCGTTTGCATTAATTTGAACATTTCTTGTGTATATGAAATTTTTTTCATGAAGACTACAGGTTGTGAACTTGTATCAACAGAAAATATACGCTTGACATTGAAAAATCTCTTGAATTTTCTCTTAACCGGCTGGAACTGAAAGTAATTAGCTTTTGCCACCTCCATGAAATCTGTCAAGTCTCTATTAATTTTGGTATTTTGCTATTGAAATCCCTTGAACTTTAAACGGACTGTTCCAAGTTCAAAGCAGGTCAAATCAAATATACAAAATGACAGCAGGTTAAGGGTTAATATTGTGTACTAGTTTACTAACTCTTCACAATTTTATGTAATTGAGATTATGTTTGAGCATTCTCACTTATTTTATAACACTTCAATGTCTATTTATAGCAAATAATCTAGAAGACCGCCAGAAGACGAGTAAATTCTGTGTTTGGATCACAAGTGAGCCGAGCGCCAGCATACCAAACTTCCTGATTCTCAATCTTCACAAGGTGGCCTGGAACCATATGACCATGGATATCCTTAATCCTGATGTGGCTGAGACAAATACTGAATCTGGTGGAGACGGTGGGGAAGCTCCACTTGCCATCAACTACAAGTCTCCACAAACATATCTACATACTGGTGGGTATCTTTAATTAATCTTCTTTCATTATTAGAATGCATTCAAGCTCTGGAATTGTTTATGTTTTACTTAATGATATTTTCAGTGTCTAAAATGATTTTGTTATTGACTGACAGTTTTAAAATGCAGGTTGAGAAGTTGGTACTTAGAAAAAGAAGATTATCTGTTTTTAAAGCAGAAGAAAAAAATTCATATTGTAAATACATGTATCCACATAAAAATATAACTGAAAAGTTGTTGAAAAGTCATCTCATGGACATAGGGACTATGTATCTGACAAATTAAAGAAAAATATTAGGAATAAAAGTAGATTAGATAGCAGATATTGATCTAATTTTGCAGATTCAGTTTAAACTAGAATTCAAATTGTTTCCATTTTAGCCATTGTGTCAACAATGAAACAGGTGCCAACAAAGGTTTGGGAGTTAGTCTTACAGGAGCCCCAGAATATCAGGAACATTGCCTTCTCTATAGCTGTTATACAGGCCATGCTTGTTGCTAGGCAACTGTTTGGTGCCCAGGGACTCAGTCAGTATTATCCATTCCGGGAAGTTCAGACAGGACAAGCTATGTTGCTGGTTCTCAGCAGAATGTTGAGACCAACTGATGAAGATGGAGGAGAACCAAACAAGGAGAAGTTAACTCAGCTTGTAACTCAGGTTTGTTTATTGTTTCTTAACACAGAAATATATTCAACATTATAGAAGTTGCTACGTCTTTGAAGGTTCTGCATTATTTTATGTAGGTACATGGACCTGCCATTAATGCAAATGAAAATGTATTGCAAACAAGCATTCAGCCAAACAAGTCATCTTAATTTGTATCATTTTGATGTACATGGATGTATTGACAGTTCCAGACTCGTTGTAAACTTTAATTGTTGTGTGACCTGCCACTGTGTCACCCAAAAACATACTAGTCCTTGTCAATACAATTTACTGATATTTTACATAAAGCATTTCACATTCAAATCTGTACTTAAAAATGAATTACTATACCATTTTAGCATATGAAGGTTATGAAGGTTAGGTGAAATGCCATTGCATTGAGATTATAGAGGTAAACCTGATAACAATAATGTGACAGAAATACTCTGAAACTTGTGTTAAGTCACTTAAAAATGAAAAATAAAAAAAGTCATTCAGCAACAGAAAACCTTAATTGTTTAAAAGGACACAACTGAGGTTTTTAACATGATGAGACAAAAATATTTTTTTGAGATTTAAATGTTCCATTTGATATAGTTCTAGAAAAGTAATTTTAATGCAAAATTTCAGATCAATCGCTCACTTTGTTTTTCCAGAATAATTATTCTAATTGTGAAAACTGACTGAACTTGAAAAGCATTGTAAAGCTTTTCACTCAAATCGGACTGTAAATGGCACAACAGTACAATTTCAATTTATTTCTGAGTATAATTCTTAATTATCTTTTGCATATCCCTTCTGATTCAAATGACCCTGTTGATCTTATGTAAGAAATTATAATTTTATGTTTTTCGGCTTAAGGATGTCAGTGGAGTTCCTATACACAAGAAATTTCTAGTGGAAATTTAGGCTATAGATTATTATCACAGTTCTATAAGAGAATGTTTTATTTGTATAGGTGGTATATGAGAATACAGCATATAGTGAGTTTGATCAGGAATACGTGAAGGCTCTAGTCAGAAATGTTCTACATAATGTATACACTGACTCTTCTGGAACACTCGTACTAGGTACAGTCGCAATCCCAACACCCCCAGCTAATGTTGGTAAGTTCCTTGTAGTCATTTTGTCTATTATCTAAGGAGTACTTGTGTCTAATAAGTTTATTAAAGTTTATATAGACATCAGGTTGAATATTTTTTTGGGACAGACCATATGGAACATGGAAAATGATGAATGCTGCTACAACACAGCTGCATCGTTATAAAGTCACCATATACAGATATAATCTAGTCATTAAATATAATGTAGTCACCATATAAACTTAAGTGTTGCTGTGACTCAAACACAGCTGAAAAGAAAAGCAAAATATAACCTTAAAACCATGTGAGCACTGAAAGAACTTTTTTCCACTAAAGTACAGTGTACATTAGCCCTTAGCCTGCCGGCAGTTGCTGATTCCACCCATGTAGCCAGTACAGACCGCACTGTTCGCTATTCAGTGATTACATATTATTAAATATTTCCTAAAAATGATAAATGGTTTTGCCCAGATTGAAAGATGGACAAGTTCATTTGTTGTGATAAGTTTAGCATGATAAGTGTGTTATAATTATGTTACAGAGCCGAGTGAATATGCCTGGTGGTATGAGAAGAATGTAGATGAAGAATTTACCATGTCTGCTTTACAACTTCACACCAGCGTGGAGAAAGAGGCCTGTGTTGCCAGGTGAGTTAGTAATCCAATCTTTGCTCCTGTTGATTTAAATAATTTATTTTTGATAAACTTGATTGTAAAAAGGTATCTTTTTATAGATTAATTCTTTTCAATGGGTCTTGTTAGTGTAAGATGAGAAAACATAGTAATTAACTGATATAAGGTAAACTCCTTAACTTGTTGCCTGCTGGCAACAAATAATTCCACCCATGCAATCAGTGCAGTCCGAGATCAGGCAGTTAATCCATGCCATCTGGTCATGGTCTGCACTGTTTGCTATTCAGTCAGTACATATTTTACAATTTTTTGTAGCAATGATAAATGGTTTAGCCCAGAATGTAAGATGGACAAGTCCATTCACGATAATAAGCATGTTTAGGTTAAATAATTACACAGAAATTTTCCACCAAAAATGTTGGTATTGATATATTTGTATGTCAGAACATGACAAAAAACCAGGAACAATTTATTTATGATACATGAGATTAGTAAGTATCCTTTTATACATTATGTGTTCATTTTGCCAATTTTCTTTCTCTCAGCTCAACAGAGTTTATTTCCAACATGGATCACATGTTCGAGACACAAAATATGGAAGCGGGAGATGTTTCCACAAGCAATTCAGGTGTTGTTAATCTCAAACGTCTCAGATCCTCCCTGGATATCTGCCTGGAAGATTTACCTCCCTTGTTGGAGCTTGGCCAGATACCTGATTCTGTACAGCAGGATTACAACTTCCCTTACCATTGTCCCAGTGTGATCTCCATAGCAACTGCTTCAAGCACAATGATGCCGGAAACCATCGGATATGTCCTATTACAGGTTTGTTCATTTGCTGGTTCCTGTTCTTTTAGGAATATTTATCTCCCTTGACTTCTAATATTTCTCCCAATGGATATTGATGGATATAATTAAAAATCTAATGTTTTATTTTTACTAAAAAAATAACAGTCAAAAGAAGTGAAAATTAATGAAAATTTGA